TCTCTCTCTCTCTCTCTCACAAACTATCTCTCTCCCTGGCCTAAATTCTCAGTTTTTTTATCGGAATTGCTTGAATTTCAGTGCAAATTGGCGGGAAACAAGTCGGTTCCTGACAATTTACTATAAAATATTCGGACCTTTTTTTTACGTGTGGACCCCACTTTTTCTTGCTCGTGCAGAGGGTACAGTAAAATGTAAAGGACAAAAAAAGTATACAATAAATATAAAGTATATCGAAAATGTTCGTAAATAACTGATGCATGTAAAGGATTGGAACAACTAGAAAGTGAATACTATTACTAGCAACTCACTTTCACTATTATGAAAGAGAAAATAGATGTCACAAATTTTTACAATCTACTTCATCATAAGAATAAACATCATCATCTTCAACATCAACTATATAATTCTACTTTTGGAGTTCGTGTCAAAATTTCTACTTGTGAAGGTCCATCACCTTCATCAGCTAACCCAAAAATATCACGTTCGACATTGTCTTTCGCTACTGATCGTGGAGCTGGGGCAACTCTCCTCTTCAACATCAGCTTTCCTCGAATCACAAGACCTTGTTAGTAACAATTTTCAAACTATTTCAGTCTTTCACAAATAGCCTCAGTAACCCTGCAAGTTATTCCAATGCCTTACAAATGGTTGCAGTAACCCTAGCATTTGGATCACAACCAAAATACTACACACATAGCATTTACTTATGCGATCAGTACAATAATTGCCACCCATACTCATAGATATGATATAGTCAACCCTTTTCTAGACGAGAGAGCCGACTGAATATACCCTGATTTTAGAAATCGATAACGATTTGAAAAAGATGAGTAGATACAAACTTTTTTCCTTGAAAACCAGTAAACAATAATTCCTCACATGACCCAAACAACAAAAAGACAAACACCAATTAACTTATTAATTGCATATCTACACAAAAGTTATTTTTAATAAACAAAACTCACCCGTACGTTCCTTATCAGGCTTGATGATATCAATATTTTTCTTTGTTCGCAAAGTATGGACACATCGGATTCGGTCGAATCGCCTATCGATTTCGGTGCAACAGAACTCGGCGCAGCAGATCCTTCAATGCTTAAGCGCATGATTTTTATTTATTTTTAATTGGTTGGATTGTGGTTCTTTGGCCGAAGATGGCGACGGGTTATGACGGGAGTCTAGGCAGATTTGACCAGGAACGTCTAGTGATTTTTCATGTTTTTTTAAAAAATTTAACAATTAAGCATTACCAATACTACCCTGAACGACTTACCAGAGGCATAGTCAGCCCGAGAACCTCCAAATATAAAAGGGTAAAAAAAAAAGTGAAAATGACTAAATTTGTATAAAACACGAATGTAATGAACTAAATTAGTGAATTTCTAATGTTAAGAACTAAATTAAGATTTCTGTCAAATGTAGAAAACTATCCGAGCATTTTACTCTTTCTCCTTTTCTTTTTTGGTTAGTTTATGTAATATATATACATATATGTTTTTGGTTTTTAAAAAGAGTTGGGATATATATATACATATATATACCAATTTTTTAAAAAAAAAAAAGGACAAAAAAGTATGAATCAATGTTACCTTCTTAATGCATCAAAGAAACTTTGGTATGTTGCGATTTATTTGACGGCGTTACCATCTTTCATTCACTCAATTACGACTTTCCATGTAATTATATGAAGTCTTGTCACTTAAAAAATATCACTTTCTTGGCATGTAATTACATGAAGTTTCACTTAAAAAATTTCACTTTCTTGGCTTATTATCAAGGGCGGAGCTACATACTTGCCCCAGCTGAAAAAAAAATGGTAATTATCCCTTAAAATTTTAGGATTTTTCCTTTAGAAAAATAGATTTTGTCCCACTTAAATTAACAATATTAAGAGTAATTATATATACTAAATTAATAATATTAAAATCTTGCCCCATCACTTCTTCGATGCTTAGCTCCGCCCCTGCTTATTATAATAATCATGTTCTTGAACCTATATTATGATGGACTGCATGAGCTAAGAGGGTTCCTTTTTTATTTTATTTTTTTCTGGAACTTTTTTTCCTTTTATTTCTGGAACTCCAGTCCCTACTATAACTGTGCCTGATAAAACACACTTGCCAAAAGGCCAAATTCCATTAGAAGGATACTTTTCATAGCGCATTTAGTAACTTCCCCACAACATCTTTGTTATATTTTGACGTCTCAAATCTAGAATAACTTCATTTTAATTAAAGGCACAAGAGATATTACAACGTGGGATGGTTAGGTAATGGGTGGGAATGGCAAGTAAGAGTAGTGATATTCGAATCACGAAATCAAAGTTCAAATTCTGTGTTAATAAAAATAATCAAATGAAAAATTACGATATTGTTCAGGAGAATATATTTTATATGTATATATATATATATCAAAATTTGAAATTCGCTTGTTAGTCATAACCGGTTGATGGGTCACTTTGGTATAAGTCAATTGATTTTTTTCTTATCAGGGAGGTTATTTATCTTTTAAGTACTGCTAATATAAAAAGTGAGGTTATTTATCTTTTAAGTACTGCTAATATAAAAAGTGACATAAAAAATCTTATCCATAATGCAAGAACACTTGATTTGATACAAAGAAATCAAACCAATAAACCACGATAGAGACACGGTTATTAAAGGAAGGATCATGTCTGTAGTATTTCAGATGATTCATATGACATATCGCATGTGTTTTAATTATGGGAGATGTCTTTTTTAAGAAGTGGAAACCTTGTCGGATTTCAAATAAGCAAAAAAAGCCCTGGAATGGAGAACCGTAGACAAGAAAAGATTGAAAGGGAAAGATCTTCAAAAATATAAATCGTACATTTCAGCACTAACATTAAATCAAAAGCCTCAGTAACCCTTCTTTTCTTTTATTTTCTATGATAAATGCTTGAAATCTCACTAGAGAATAAATCATAGTGAGAAATAAACAATTACAAGCGAACCCTAAGTGACAAATTTATAGGCAGTGGAGGCAAAGTAATCTATGTAGTCATTTATTCATAACAATGTTTTTTTTTTTTTTTGGTCGATTTTCTCCTCTCGCATCTCCTACAGTTGAACTTAATGTTGCTTCAACTACATGTGTAAGTAGGGCCTTTACATTAGAGAACATCAAGTTGATATACATAATGCTTCAATAATTTGAAAGTTTGTTTTAGTTCAACAACTCATCATAGGTATATTTTGCTAGCTAGCCCTCTAATTAATAAATTTTTGTTTTTCTTTGCAGACGTAAAAAATTTTTATTTACTTTTTAGCAAATGTTGTAAACCCTAATTAATCTATTGCATTTGGGAAAAGAAAAAAAACGTAATATTGATCCTCGACAAAAGAAAATATTCATTTTAGTAAGTCAGACTCAAATATTACTCTTTGTTGTTCAGAGTCTCTAAACTAGTGCAATCCGCTATTTATCAATGCCTAACATTATTAGTAAACCATGCATGGAGTGATCTTTTAGTTATCTTTTGCCTTGCGTGCAAATGATAAAAAAAATCATTAATTTGATTGTATTTTAGACCATACGAGGGCCACTTTCTCATTTACAACAAATAAAATACACGTATCGCAAAGGTGAGAAAGCTTTTTCCCTATTAAAAAACAACAAGAAAAGAATGAAAACTTTGAGTGTGTGTTTTAATTTTCTAGACTCTGTTTGGTGGGGGTGCTGGTGGTAATTGTTTGTGTGTTGGAAATGTAATTCGGATGGAGAACATATAGTTAAAAGATTAAATTAAAAAAAAAACTAGTAAAAATGATGTAAATAGGAAACAAACATATTAGAAAGAGTTTCCAATATGCGCAAAGGCATGTCACAATGGAGTTAAAAATGAATTATTCGATCGATTTGAATGCAATGCCTTACTTTCGAACGAAGAATGTGAAACACAGATTATATTTTAGTACGAATAGAGTAGAATAGATTTTTTTCATTCCAGAAAAATAATATATTTTTTGAATTATTTTCACTCAATATATATTTTGAATTGATAAGTATTACTTTGTCTAAGAAAATATTCTATTTTATTAAACTAAAAACAACACTAGAAATAGTGCATTTTTTTAATACGGAATAAGTATTATTCTAAATGGGAGAATATGAGAAATTACTTGGAAGATTTCCTCTGGAATTATTTTTAAAAAACAAAATTCCTCTGGAATGATGAATATATGACTAGAAGTTGGTGATCTCTCAACTAAAACGACTCAATAATTATATAATTTCAGGAACAAACGTTGAATTATGAGTTTCTAATCCACATTGTTAACTTAATAAAAAACAACCTAGTACAGCCTCTTTGGGCGGTGGCTGTTTAAGAATCTTTATGAGTTGTTAACACTTCTATTATGAACCTTAATTTATCATTGTTTTTTTCCAGCTGGTTGTCTTTCTCGAATCATTATAGTGAGAATCAAACTGATTTCCGACTTTATTCCTCGACCAAAAAATTAAAACAACGGTTAGAAAAGTCTTCTTTTTAATCATATTTTTTTCCCAATGATAATGTTGAAGGACGGTAACTATATATTGAATTAAAATCATAGTTCAACCTCGTAGCTTTGATCAAGATGTTAAGAAGAATGAGTAAGATTAAACTTCTACTAATGGATGACTCATTCCTGAGAATTGTAATACTATCTCTTATTCAAATCAAATTTTTATGTTCACCTAACTTAAAATGATGTGAGCCTTAGTTCACCTCCGAATTGGTTATTTTTCAGTACTGGTTAACTTCAATTCATAATAAAGTTGATTATTCAAAAAAAAAAAAAAAAAACTTGAGCCTTAGTTGTAATGTTAAAAGTGGGAGAAGGCAATTGCGAAACTGGAAATTATATCGTAGAGGAAGCAATCCCAAAATAAAGTATTCCAAAATACATAAAACACTAATTTTATTGAAACGATAATTTGCTAATTTTATAGGAAAAGGGAAGACTCATTTGGCATTGACAGCCATTTTTGTGCTCGTATATTGTTACTTTATCAACACGTAGGATCCACCAAATTCCACTAAACATGTACTTTTGCTATTACAGAAAAAGAAGAAAAAAAAAGGCAAAAATCGTACTTCCTTTGTACAAGGGAAGGAAACTTTAAAGAACAAAAAAAATCAGATTTCCATTAACTTACAAAACTTCTTCAGTATAATTACATCCAAATTACACCACACTAGTATGAAAGAATACAACAACCCCCAACTCTTCTTTCACTCTGCTCTCTAAACTCTTTTTACAAGTCATATAGTTCTTGAATCCCAAGAAAAAATAATAATAATAATAACAAATTACAAACTCTTCTCCTGGAAAAAAAAAAACAAACAAACAAACAAACTTCAAAACTTCTAGTAAGAGCATATTTTGCCCTCCTTTTTCCATAGGATACACAAAACTGAAACAAATACCATAGAACTGAACAGGCACCAAATTTAAAAGGGTTCAGTGCCTTACCTGTCCCATAACACATCGTCACAATTTACTACTACTTAAAAAAACCACTATTATTATGAGACGGATGGAATATTACTTATTATTCGGTCGAAATGATACTCAGGAAACATCGTCCTCTGTTCCAACAGAGTACTTAGGAATCCACCAAACTCGCAAACTTTTGTCAAGACTTCCACTGTAGAGCATGAATCCATCTCCCACCCGGCTCGGAGACGCTTGCAAACACTTGACAGGACCTTGATGACCTTTGATGATCCCGAATCGAAACAATCCGCCATGAATCTCTCTTTTCCAGATGCTTATACTTCTATCAGCCGATCCAACGCACAAAGTATCCCCTGTTAAACTCATACACAAAACAGCCATTTCATGCGCTTTAACTTCACAACTTACCTTCCAACTATCAAATTCTTTGTTTGCCAACCACCCCATTATGAACCCATTTGAGCCACCGCCATAAACAGAGCTTCCATCCTCGGAAACAATCACAGAATTCAACGAAACATCCTTGTGGCCTTCCAAGATTCCCTTAAGCGAATGATGCGTGTTGCTGTTCTTCCCTCCTTCTCTGCCCCAAGCCTTGATTTTACCGTCTGCGGACGCTGAATAAACAATCCCTTTGCTGGCAACCAATCCGTTAATCGCGTCATCGTGAGCTTTAATCGATTCCAGACACTTGAAATCCGAAACCCTCCACACTTTAAGTGTCTTGTCCCATGAACCAGAGTAGATTAGTCCATTATGCACAGCCAAGCAAGATATACTATCCGCGTGTTCGATCCAAAGTCGCTTATGATGCCGCCTGGTTTGGACATAATTACTCTGTTTCATGAACTTCCCAAGATAATCCTTAGTGGTCGGAAGAGTATCAAGAAGCCTGAATACATTCTCTGAACTTCTTGAAACCTTCCAAACTCTAAGCTTACTGTCTTGATGCGCAGTGAAGACCTTATTCCCCACACTAACCAGCGCCTTCACCGACCCTTCCCCTGTTCCGAATTTCGTAAACTGCCTCATATCAGGCTGTTGCCACACTATAATATCTTTCCCTTGTGACCCGCTCAGTATGAATTCACCACATAAGGCCAAGCAAGAAACTGATCCCACATGGCCGGAAAGAACCGCCAGCGATTTGTACGAGTAGAAACCCGAAATGGGCTTGCTCGGAATCCTGAATTTAAGATCAGCATCAAACTCAAATCTGTCGGAATTTAGAGGACTCTGTTCATCACTCTCGCTGCTGGTACAACTACTGCTGCTTGTAGTTGTAGCTGCTTCACCGTATAATAATGGCACAGATGATGACATCATCCCTCTTCTTTCCTCCATTACACAAAGATCCATTGGGCGAAACACTTCTCTCATTCTAATCAAATTCTGTAAATCAGAAAAAAAGAAGGTAAAGACAGAGAAACAGAGAGACAGAGGGAGAGAGAGAATTGGGTTGTATCAAAAAGAAGGGTTGGGGGAGGGAGGAAAAGACGTAATTGAGCATAAATAAAGAGAGACGTTGTAGAAAAATTTTGATCAAACAGAAGAATTATTCTTTTTGGTTAATTGACTATTTATTCAATTGAGAGAGAAAAAGACATTGACATGCATTGAACGTTAAGAATTTTTGGGTAATCTACCAGAAACAATGCTATACTCTATATGGGTTTTTTTAATATGAAAAAAGAAAAAGAAGGTAAGAGTGGAGCCAATGTAGAGATATGTTGTGGGAGTGGTTATGGGTTTGGACCATTTTTTTTAAATCTTTTTTTAAGAACACATTTAATAATGCATACTTTTGTATGTATGTTTTGTAGGTGAGTAATAAAGAAAGAGAGACATAGAGGAGCGGATTCGTGTTGAATGAGAGTGCCTTTATACACGGATTTCTTGCTGGAAAATGTGTTGGAATGGAAATGAGAAAAGAAAGGAAAGAAAAAAAAAAAAAAAAGTTACTCTCTACATTCAAGAAAAAATAATTCAGTTTGTGCAAATTACTCGATTATCTTTAAGCTATTCTATGATAACAAATAGAGTTTCTAACGTTATTTTTTTTTTGGTAATTTTAAAAAATTCTCATAAAATTAAGATTGTAACTAGAGAATAAATGTAATTTTGAAATATTTTTTACTTTTCTTAAAAGACATTTATTCCAAAACGAAATGGAATAATATACTAGTTTTAGAAGAACTAACCAAAAATTAAAATTAAAAAAATAGGGAGGAAGGCGTAACGGCTACTTTTTAGGATTGGGAAAAGTTACTACTAATAGGGTGAGGAGGGTTCTGGGGGCCCAGCTTGCCAACCTTTTTAACTTTTAAGGAGCTCATGGAAGAAACTAGCCTGGAGGCTGGAGCTCCCAATCGACCCCACTTCAGACTAGATTACCATAAAATAGATTAAACTGTATAAATGATTCCCTATATTTATCCGAATTTAAATTTTGGTCCTCTACATCAACATATATATAAATTGAGCCTTTACATTTCATTTTGAAACTTTTTTGTCTCTTTTTGAAACTTTTTACTATTCCGTCACCATTTCCGTCTTGATGACCGTTGACCCTACCAAGTCAGGGGTATTTTTGGAATGACACATATATGATCAAAATAACAAATGTTTAAATGGTCTCCTACATTTGTCCAAATTTAAATTTTGGTCGCCTATATCAACATGTATGTCGAGTAAGCCTTTAAATTTCATTTTGAAACTTTTTTGGTCTCTTTTCACTGTTCCGTCACCATTTCCGTCTTGATGACCGTTGACCCTACCAAGTCAGGGGTATTTTCAGAATTACACATATAAGATCAAAATAACAAATGTTTTTATAATAAAATAGAATAAAATATTAAAAATTATTATTTTCTAACAAAAAATTAAATTAAAAATAAAAAAAATTAAAATGATTTCAAATTTCAAATTTCAAAATTTTTTTTTTCACTTCCCACTTTTGTGGATCCCACATGCCAGTCAATTTCCCCCTTTTTTTGCTACAGTAAAAAAAAATAAAATTAAAAAGTAAACTTACCTTCACCCGTCAAAATTAAAAAGCAAAAAAAAGACAGGCGAAGGTAAGTTTGCTTTTTAATTTTGATTTTTTTTTAGTGTAACAAAAAAAAGGGGGGAAATTGACTAGCATGTGGGACTCACAAAAGGTGGGAAGTGGAAAAAAATTTGAAATTTGAAATCATTTTAATTTTTTATTTTTAATTTTTAAATTACTTAATTTTTTATTATAAAATAATAATTTTTAATATTTTATTCTATTTTATTATAAAAACATTTGTTATTTTGATCTTATATGTGTCATTCGAAAATATCCCCGACTTGGCAGTCAACAATCATCAAGACGAAATGGTGACGAATAACGATGAAGAGACCAAAAAGTTTTAAAATGAAATGTAAAGGCTCAATCTATATACATGTTGATGTAGGGGACCAAAATTTAAATTTGGACAAATGTAGGGACTATTTAAACATTTGTTAATTTGATCTTATATGTGTCACTCCGAAAATACCCCGACTTGAGAGGCAACGGTCATCAAGACTAAATGTGACGAACAGTGAAAAGAGACCAAAAAAGTTTCAAAATGAAATGTAAAGGCTCAATTCATATACATGTTGATGTAGGGGACCAAAATTTAAATTTGGATAAATGTAGGGGACCATTTATACAGTTTAGTCCCATAAAATATAGCGCAAATTAGTATAAATTTATATATTGTACCCAATTAATGGTTAGAATTAAGTTTGGTGTTGAATTGTCTGGTGGCATTTTTAAAATATGGAAAGCTTATATATAAACAATTATACGCATATATTTGGAGGAAGGAAATCATCGTGACGATATGAATACACTTGCAGCATTTCATCTCTCTCCGATGGCATGTTCAATTCGACATAAATCACCGATAAATACTTGATCTATTCGATAAAAGTATTAGATTAGATTAACTATCACTTAGATCAAAATATGGATATGAGTATGTAACAGTGCTTATTAGAAGAGTTTTGTCTTGAAAGAGAATCTATCCGACTCAAATTCGAATTAATCGGAGCAAAATATTGAATGTATAATATACCAATTCGACATCTAGAATAACTATATGTTTGCGGCCCAATCTATAATTTTTATCAAGTATTATTTACAACTTACTCGTTCTGACAAATCTTAGAACATTTAAAACTTTAAATTACTTCCTCTGTCTCCTTTCTCCAAAAATAAAAACTCTACAAAATATGAAAACTCAATATAGTCTATTTTCTAAAATATAGAAAGTATTATTTTAGCTAATCAAAATGGGGAGGAAAACCACTCTTGAGTCCCATTTTCAATTAAGCAAACTGTAATATCATATATAAGTTGTTTCAGAGGGGAAAAAAGTTACAACTGGTATGAGTGACAGAAAAAAATGAGAAAATTTGGATAAGGGACATTGGAAGATATGTAATTAAGAGTGGAAGATAAGTATCTTTAAATAATTTTTATTAATAGCATTATAACCTCACTTTCAGACATGACTTTAACAGTTTAACTCTTTATTTAACCAATTTTTATCCATTTCAATTTTTCATAAGCAAATTTAAATCTACATGCAAAGTTTGAATTTGATAATATATTAATCTACAAAATTAAAAAATATTATAGGACAAAAGAAATAATTTCATTATTTAAAATACAGTGGTTAATTGTTCATAATTTTTGGAAGATTCATTTTTCTTAAATAATATTGATATTTAAAATAGACAAATTTTATCTTTTTAATATGAACTAAACTTTAAATGAAATTGTCCAAAAAAATTATAAAAACTCGTGGTTAATTGAACCGTTACAACAAATTTTTGTAAAACTTCATTAATCCATTTTGTACTTTATGTTACCAAAATTTTCTAAAAATATAATGAATAAAAAATTGTAAATATTTATTTTGACCAATGAGTGTACGTATAAATGTACTCCCTCCGTCCCAGAAAAATACAACTTTTTTAATTTGGTCAACACACCAAATGTACCACTCATTTTATGCCCCTAACTTCCACTAATGCCTCTTCTAGTTATTTCTATAAAAGTTAACTACATATGTATTTATTTTACAACTTAAATTTGATCACAATTTTTATCTTAAAAAATATTGACAATGGATCTTGATAGAAAGATCTTGTTACGTAGATTAATTTGATATATAACACATTTTTTAATTATTCATGTATTAAAAGATATAATCATTTAAAAAATGAGAGAAAACTAAAAAAAATAAAAATCAAAAGAAGTGGACTTTATTTTCCTTACCATTACTCTTTTGAATATTTAAGTAATTTCAATTCAATTAATTTTGACTTTTGTGAAACTGAACTATTTTTTTGGGACAAACTTTTTTATTAAACTGGACTATTTTTGAGAGACAGGAGGAGTAATATTTATAGTCACATATGTAATACTATAATACTCACACAAAAATATATATATATATATATATTTAACATAATAAACTTTCCAATTTATTAGAGCTAAAAAAATAAATTTGTTTGAAAAATATAACTAAAGTCATATTTGGAATTGGAGTTTGGTGTGCTCTTAATACAAATTATTTAAAAGTACTACCCTCTTTATAAATTATTTATTATCCACTACTCTTTATCCAAATTTTCCCAATGAAGATCCCAAACGATTGTTTTAACAAATGTTCCGCTAGATTTTAGGCTGCGACGTCTTTTTATTGAATTGAGCTCAAGACCACAGAGTAAACACCAATGGTCTCAGAGCACTTATGTTACATGCACTACCAAGAAGGCTTTCTCATCATGACTTTCAAAGAAAGGCTTTAAACTTCGAAGTACAAAATTTATAAGCAGAAACAATTGTAGCAAGAGAATTTAGTTAAGGGAACATCCAACAGTAAAAAGATGTCATTTAGAGACGCTAACATCTCGCAGACTATTCGGCCTCTTTTGCCAAATTATTGCCATGGGGCTACCATCATTTTGTACAACCCCTTGAGGGTGTTCATAATCAGTTATATCATGATATAGTAGGTGGTTCGTATTCTAGAATTTTAATCGTCAAGTCTAAGGCCATTGCCTTCCTTCTGAATAAACTCATGTGGATGCATGAGTAGTTGGTTGGACAACAGCATATGACCAGGGGAAAAGCGGGCAAGCATTAGTCCATGCACATTCAATACTACTACAGATATTAACCGCAATACAGTGAATACACTAACAGATACAATACACAACAGAAACCTAAAGTACGGAAAAGTTTTTAAATCAGAAAACTGAAACAATCTGAATGATGTTTATCTAGTAAAAGAACTGGATTCCTTCATCTCCACTTATGTTATTCCATCTATAGATGCACTTCAATGTATAATCGGATATCATATAATACAAGATGAGATAGAAATGACTTCAAATTTTTGGTTCACATGTTCACATTTGGTTAGCAACCTAGTGTTATCTACTTAAATCTGCAGCATAAGAACACACAAGTGACTATTGTATAATAAGAGAATTGATACCAAATTGTTATATTTAACTATATCCACATAATACGTGTCCTCACTTAGCTTTACACCTTTTGCGCACATTACAGAAGAAAACCACGAAGAGAAACCGGCGCAGACAGCTAAGTGACCTCAACTTCTCTTGTAAGTGTCTAAGGTGATGCACAGACAAGCTTCTAAGGAAATGGAGATGTAAAGGGCTGAAGCAAAGAGTTCTGTTTGCTTGTATTCCTGGGCCAGTGTATCACATATGGCAGGAGAGGAATGCAAGGAAGTTTGGAAATGAGAGGCAGTCAGCTGAGAAAAGATTGGAGAAGATTCAATTGGAAGTAACATGGAAACTATAATATCATTGTAGGAGAGGTTAATGATGATATTCGGTTTCTAAAGTCTTTAGGAATCAACCCAATGTTTTAATGTCTTTGTAATAGCACAAGAACAGGAATGTACAGAAACTTCATTTGTTGGGAAGTAATAATGCTGCTTAAGACATATTCTATTTGAAAATAAGAGTATAAGACTACAAGAACATATTTCAAATCAGCAGCAGAACCAGTCTTGGATAGGAAGATACCCTTGTCATGGTACTAACATGAAGCTTTAACCTATTCAGGCATATTCAGATCTAGTGGATGAAGATTTTCCTACCTGCATCCCTCCAATTTGGAATTTTGAACTTCATTGTTCTTCTCTCGTGACAAAGCATCAGCCTTTAATTATTCACAATCGGCTTGAGGAGTTTGCTACAAGAGCAGCGCATATGGTACAACACAAGTTATTATTCTATAAGCTTCAAGTCATGCTATTCCGAGTTCGTACTCTATCGATTATCATTTGCATGCCAGATAAATCTTGCGCATAGCTAACAACCTGAAATCAAGAAAGCAGGCACCATTATAAACATGTTGAAGTGAACTTGAGAGGAATTAGAGCAGCACAAAAAGCAAGATTCTCAAAGATAGGTTGCAAATGATTTCTGGCAAGCAAAGGAGCCAAATTTGACTTTCAGGCGTTCTTTATGATGGAAATGCACTTCCGAAACAGAACCAAAGAGCAACCTCTATTATTGCCACTTAAAATTTTCAGAAACCAGAATAGGAACAAGTCCAAAAGTGAAGCAACAACCTGAGACTCTGTTTGAGTATCAGTAAACGCATCATAGTCTCCTGTTCTAACATCCTCCGGGGTATTCTCCATTTGATCAAACCTGGGAAAAAGTAAAATTCCAGTCAAAATTTCCGTTGTACTGCAGTCTTAACTCTTTTCCTAATCGACAATGATTCAAGTGCAAATGACCTTTACTTGTGACCATTATCATCAAAAGATACATACATAGAGGCATATACATACACGTAGACACATGCAAAAAAAAATCTGAGTACTCTTTCAAAACAGCAAATTTATGCATTTAATAGCATGCTCCAAAAAATTCAATGAAAAGACAAGAGGGAAAGGAAGAATGAGGAACCGGCTGGTCCAAGTCAGGAAGAATAACAGTTAATCCTTCATAAATCCTTCTGTTACCAAATTTTTGCAAATCAAACCATGCAGAAAGACATTATGTACAACATAGACAATGGGTCAACATCATTCCTTATGCCCTTGGTTGATAATTGCTGTGCAAGTTACTCTACTCTCCCTCTCCCTCACCCTCTCTCCCTCTCACAAAGGTACACAAAATAAGCACTCTGAATGTCATTTGTATTGGTCATTCCCGTAAAGAAATTCAGAATCCAGGAAAATACATATATCCCATTTTTATTCTATTTGTTAATCTGCCAAAATATGCAAATAAAACAGAGGATAATAAACAAGTTCATAACAGACAAAATGGAAGAAATGATGTGGTGCAACATAATTCTGATAGTTGCTAAAGTCTTAAGATGCAAAAAAGAGCAAGCTGGTGGGTAAAACAGCGGGAACCTGTTAACCCAATGATTTGGGAATGCGAGAGCAGGTTGAGGCTCGGCAAGGTCTTGACCAAGGACAGCACAATCAGATGAAAAAATCTAATCATAAATAAAGGAAAAGAAACGATGATACGGAAACATAAACTGTGGAGCATTCAAATAGAATATTCAAGGATACACTTCTATCACTCCCACTTCTGGCAGGAGACTTCTGATCATGAATCTGATATCAAGGACCAGAAAAGAATTAGAATACATCCAGGCAACACCCTTTCGTAATGATCAAAATATAGGATATAAAGTCACCTTGCTGGTTTGCTCCAACAAGTCAATAATAGAAGCTACATCGGGAACCACCGTAGTGACACCCGCAGCACTTGTTGTCCTATCATCTTCCGTAGGAGTTACTTGATGGACACCATCGACTGAATTTGACTCACACAGCATATCTCCTTTTTCATCCCCAGAAATCTCTGGATTCTTTCTGCAATAACTCGACATATGCAGTTCTTCACTTCTCCTGGCCAAAGATTCAGTTTCTACTTTTTTAAATACATGGGACCAGCTTGGAACCATGATTGAATCTACTCCGCCACTTCCTTTCTGATTATTTTCCGAAGGTGTCACCTGAGGGATGCTGCTGACCAGATTTGACTCACACAGTAAATTGCTTTTGGCCGCCTCAAAAATCTTTGCCTTTTTGTAGCACCCACTTAAGTTATCCAGCTCTCCATTTTTCATGGTTAAAGATTCAGTTTCTATACTTTTTAGTGCTTGGGACTGGCTTGGGACCATGATTGTGTCTACCCCACCACTTATTGCCCTATTGTCTTCCAACGGTGTCTCCTCATGGATGCTTCTGATAATATTGGACTCAAACGGTAAATCCCTTTTGTTCGTCTCAAAAATCTTTGCTTTTTTATTGCCCCCACTTAAGTTACTCCGCTCTCCATTTTTCATGGTATAAAATGAACTTTCTAGAGCTCTGTAAGATTGTGACTGGCTAGAGGTTTGAGATGAATGTTCACCACTACTCATCTGCGATGCTTGGATGGGACAACTTAAACTACTCAGCTCCTTGTTTTTCCTTGTAAATGATTGAGTTTCGTGAGTTTTACATGATGTGGACTGGCTGGGAATTTGCGATACAGTTTCACCAGACATCATTTGTACAGCTTCGGTAGAATATTGGGTCATTGTACAGGCTCCGCCTAGGTCTTGGGAAGTGGCCTCTTTTGGACAAAATGGAGATGGAGAAACAACCTTATTCTGTCCAAACATACAAAGGATACAAACTTGTGTGATAAAACAAACCTCAAAAGTTATGGAGGCCTAAAGGATATAAACAATAAACACACTCAAATATGAGAAGAGAAGGAAAAGAAACCTGCTTCACACACTCATAAATCCACTCAGCAGTAACAGGTTGTATCCCCCATTTACAAGCAGCGTCATACTTTTCACCACCAGCATATTTGCACAACAGATGGGTGACATTTTTAGTTAAATGCTTAACAAATGGCACCCCGAGAATGAAGCACATATTTTTCAGCAGCAGTCTCTCTTTCACATCATATTGTGAAGCACAGAAGCGGAAGCTCTTAAAGGCAAGAAACGGAATTTGGCATGGAAGAGGAGAATAGAGTATGTGACTCCTAACATCCAGCAAGCACCCATCCTACAATAGAAAAGTCAATGCAACATTACTCTGTGTTTCCAAAGAACAAAAGACAGCTGATAAAAGTTAGAAAATGACCTACAGTTTCCATACCATCAGAGAAGAACGAATCCAGTGAGTTGACACACATTTACTTTCGCAATTTGTAGTATCCGAAGGCACCATACCATGGCATTCAACTATGTAGTGCACATTTTCTACTTGACTTTCCACCACTTCTCCTCCTCCTTGATTAACCCATTCAACAATTTCAGCCCGCTGGAAAAATCTCAAGTGGGTCAATGAAGTGTCAAGAGATATGGACCTAACAAGCAAATTAGTAGACCAAAGAACAAGAGCTTTCATATTCATGTATGTATAGATATGTCTGTGTCTGACAACAGTTATATCTTCAAATTAGTAAAATAAGAACCTTAAAGGTACACAGTTCCTACATCAGCACACATTATCATCCAATTTACTCAATTACAGGAACGGCATCTAATTTTAGTTTATCAAGAACGGGTGACATTGACTGAGCTTATTCACATGAACTTGAGTATGTAGTCCATCAGATGTTTATTGCTTATACATATCATTCAAATATGAAATAGAGATAATCTTTGAAGCCGTTGTGGAATAAAAAAGAGGAAATTAAATTGACATTAAGCTATTAAACCATGTAGCCACTCTGAATGAAACTTATTAGTTCAGAAACAGCAAAACAGATAGCGGTGAAAAAATCTTTCATCCAAATGGACCAAGACTTAGTTTCTGCAAACTGGTGTGTAATAAGCTTAGTTATCTCTTAAACTTGCAAACGGGAATAAATTATAATACCTGATCAGCAGGAAATGAACCAGAAAAGCAAAATAGCTTTCCTCCAAATACATTGGAAGAAACTTGGTGGTCCACCTCACGGCTAGCGTACTTCTGAACTTGTGTGCTGCTTTTTCCATCAACAGAGGAAAGTTTCTGTTGTTTAAGTGAATTGCCCGCTGTCATCAGAGATATCTTACTATTTCTGATACATCCTGCTTCTTTTCCATCTTCCAAAGCAGCATCAGATCTGGACTTAATGCCATCCACTACTAGCGTCTCTGGAAGTACTGGTTGAACACAGGATTTTGCCCGTTTCTTTTCATCTGTACTCGTGAAAGATCTTTTGACAGAGCAACTGGGATCTAGCAATTATAAATGCAAAACCAGATAACTATAGATGTCAAGCGAGAGCAATGAGAAATTATATTGTAGAGATAATGGCAGAAAAGAAAAACACTACATCTATTTGCAGGTACTTTTATACCTTCAGATGAAATTTTTTGTGCTTTTTATACCAGATTTTGAAAATAGTACATTCGAGGAAAGATTATACTTGCCACTCCTTAGTTTCACTGGACCAAAACTTGAGTATTAGAATGCATGTAACCGATGCATGATCTCTATCCACGGGTAAAGTAAGAATTAATGGCAATGACCTCTCCCATACACACACCTTCTCTCATTAAACCAGCGACTCACATTTCAAAAGCCTAAAAGGTTTGCGGTGAAGATAAGGCCGGGAGCAAAGAGGTGAATGGCAGTTGTGGTGATTCCTAATCTGTCTATTGAAAAGATATCCGTGACCCAAATTCTTCATGAATGCTCTAATGCTGTAACTTTCATCAGAAAGGGTCAAGGAAACAAGAGAATATGCTTCCTACTTTGTTGTTCATTTGATAAGCAAATGACAAAAATAGCCTTTGATGATATATTAAAGGACGATCGGTGTTTTTCTTCATTATTGACAAATGTTAAAAACCATAGAAACATCAATGGATGATTTCATCCTTAACTTTAAAAATTGCAACAGAAACAACCCTTGAGTCCAACTTGAGTCCAAAGGATGGATATTGAACCTTTTGGAAGAAGCATATCAATGGCAATGTGCCTCCTAAGTACAGGAACTTCTTTCTTTTTATGAAAACAATCTTCAAGCCATTCAGTTTTGACGATGAAGATAACACCTAGTGCTGCAATATTCCGAATTTCTCGAATTTCACTGCAAAAGGATTAAAGCACGTGAAAACTGAGAATAAAGAAAAGGTGGGAAAATTAAAGGGGAAAAAAAAACAAAAAACAAAAAGAAGAGCACAAGGGGTAAAGACCTTTTAGTTAACATAAGAGAAGAATAAAGTTCAAAACAAAGGATCAACAAACTACAACAATGACAGAAGGTGCACAGAATTCATAATTGAATATCTACTCCCAGTAGCTTACCTCCCCGTGGGAGTTCCAACTATTATGTGAGTTAATTTTTCATTGAAGGACATATAACGAGAACCACCACCTTTACGAACCATGCTGACCAGCTTACGGGTATCAGATGCATCAAAACCAACAATTAGGATTCTGCAATCAGACAAGTATAAGTCATTTTCTTCAGTTTCAGAGTCATCAGCAACACCTCGGTCAGTGTTGGAGTCAACTTGCAGCCAAGCAGCAGGTGGCCCACAGTCCACTTTTGGAATGACAGGATCACTTCGCAATGTAGAAATGCTACATGAGATGGCAGTTTCAATATCAAGCTCTGCTTTCTGAAGATGCGAAATGGAGTGTAGATCTGAAGCAATGGTCGCAGATGACGGCTCACATTCGGAATGTACAAGGCTTCTGTCTTCACTATTTACCACCACCTTTCTAACAACTTTTTTCGAAGTAGAACTCCCAAGAACAGCATAGGACTCCTCATTAAGGCATACTGTTTGTATGAAAAGGAAAAGAAAAATTGCATAAGCATGACTCATTTAGAACAATAACTTCAGATTCATTATTGCATCTAACATTCTAGATTGACCAAAGCTTTAAGCAATCACCAATACCTCGCCTAGCAACTGATTGCTCCAACCATTTCTGTGTAATTATGTGTATGTGGCCCCACTTTCTAGCTATTTTGTACTTGTCACCTTCAGGAGCGTAATAACAGTCAAGGAACATCTGATTTCAAAAAATAACATAGAAATATCTTCCTGACATGGATACTGCAGCTGTATTTCAAGTTTCAACACAATAGATTGTAAGAAAATATATTTTGCACTTTGGAGAGGTGGAAGCATGTTTTTTGTGAGATTGTACTGACCAGACTTTGGAGAGAGACAGAAAAGAGAGACAGAAGAGTTGGCAGAGAACGACAGGCAAAAGACAGATTTTGAAAGAAACAGAAAACAGCAATTACAATCACCGTACAATGTTCCAAGGAGTTTTCAGGATGCAGAATGAATTATTAGTGACAAAATCTAACATGCTGACTAAGCTTTCCAAAAAAAAAAGTAAAAGAAATCTAAGTTGACAATCAATAAATGAACCCAGTACAGGTTTCCAAGGCAACAAGGGATTGTCAAATATGCAAATGAGCTCATTCAAACAGTAATTCAATTTCAGAAAGAGCATGTTCAACCTATTATTATGAACTTTATCCTATTAAAAAAAAAAATCTTTTAAGAAAATCATAACGAGGATATATTACAAACTAAATGTGTGCACTTCCTTGTCAGTTCAGCAGAATATCTGCCACCGTTTTCTTTGATGACCTTTTCCATCTGCTTTCGCTCATCTGTGTTAAAAAAAGAAACAAAGAAAAGTATTACCCCTTCTATTAAAGACACTCAGTCACACTTCCCAACAAAAATTTATGTTACTAACCACCTATAATACCGGTGACACAGATTGTCAAGCCTAAGAAAGGAAGAACCCTATATGACTCTTGTGGAACAACACGGTGTTCTTTCCAGCATTGATGCAGCCAATTGATGGTGACAATTGGTTTCTTTAGAACAGTTGCAGCCCACTGCAAAGCATGTGTAAACACAATTAACGAACAAAAGTGTGCGATGATTACTTCTTTATATAGAAAAAGGGTCATCAATAAAGTCAAAACTATAACAGGCATACCCACCTGCAGTGGGCTAAGAAAATTGCAGAATGTGGACAAACAGTCTACGAGTCTTAAGGGATCAAAATGGAGCATCCATAGTGGGGGAACACACAGAGAGGGAATGAGAGAACAGGACAAAGAAGCAGCCAAAACATCAATCAAATATGTCCCAATGCAACAAACACATGGACTATAAGTATGTGGAAGATCACCACTGAGAATAGGTGATACACTAGTCTTAGAACTTTATTTCTTTATAAACACGATGCAAAGAGCTTACTAGTCTATGGTGAAAACTTTCAGCATTCTTTTGTATAAAGAAGCAGAAGGAAATCGGGATGATATTGAAACTCTTCTGTCAGCCACTTCAAACTAAGTTGAAGACATCCAATGTTGCTATCTCAGAACAGACAAATGAGCAATGAAGTTCAAAAGACCAGCACTTATTAGTTCATATCTTCAAACATTCCATTCTCTATTTAAAAATCAAAACCTAAACATTATTCATGATTCGGCATTTGATATCATCAAAAACCCTTGTTTTCATGGTGGTCTAAATTCTTCTCACACATGTCAGACACAACAATTATTTGGACTAGTTCTTCTCACAAAGACAGAGAGCAAGTGAATATAATTCCTAAAAGTAAAGTACCCATGACTCCATTAATCTAAGCTCACTTGTGTTCATCCTTTTTCCTTCCACTTTCTCATCCTCAAATTTGCATTCATATTGACTTTCTTTTTTACTTTCTCCTCACTTTCAAGGTCAGATATATTCGTCCAATTTGAGATTGGATTTGAGTCATTCCTTTGCAGTATCACCCATTACAAGACCCTCCCACACCCCCAGTTCTTAGTTCCAGAAGTTTATAATAGGAGTGAAGGGCGGTATTTTTAGCTATGCACTTGCAATAGCACCTACTCTCACACCATTGCCAAACTGCTTTGTGCATCATGCACTTTTCATACAATTATTCAATTTAAGGAAGTCCAAAAGAATGCATGGCAATAAGAATTGTTACCTCAATGAACAAACATGGGGAAAGGGACATGCAAGATCATGATTGACTATAAACAAACAAAATCAAATTGCCACATCCACCAAATGTACGCACATTATTATTGCTATACATTTACTCAAATATATCTAGAATTGAAATACTATTCAAATAGTAGGCAACCCAATTACAAAAGACAAATAAAATGAACTGAAATGATCAACCTTATATTTTCCAGCCAAAACATTCTTCGCAACAACAAAGTTCACATCCATCGATGTCTTCATCTGCAAAACACCGCCCATAGCGGTTACAAGCTTGACGATTTCAGCCTACAAGGCAGGCAATGACACAGTGAAGGAGAAAGGAAGTCAAAATTGATGGCCCATATAATTGATGCTTCCAAATTAAAATGAAACAAAAATGGAAAAGAACATTTAAAAGGCAAAGAGATATTTTGAACATCGCAAATCTGAAAAAAAGTCATCATAAATATGCAGTTTTGCAGTTTCAATTTCTCACTAAGCAAACTTATATGCCCAGCAACGAGATATTATCAAAAAAAAAAAACATGAGATCGTATCAAAACCCAACCTGTCATTAAAAAAGGTTATGATATGGACTAAATGGAAATGCTTAGTGGCAGCAGATAAAGCAACTAAAAGGCATCTATATTTGACCGTCCTGGACTACAACAAGAACTATGCCTTCTTGGGATAAAATCATGTTCAATCAAAAGACATTCTCGTTTAAGTTTGAAGATGTCATGTCTTGTTTAACCAAGAAAATAAAGATGTCATGTCTTTGATAATAGTTTTCAGTCTTCCCATAGCCCTTCAAGTTTTTATTTTTATGCTAGTTTCTCAGAGCATAGGTAAAGTGGAAAAGAAGAGAATGGGTAAAGACCAAAGGTCAATAAAGAGCTTGTAGAAAGTGTAAGTCTAAAGAATCGGCAAAAAGTAATAATTAACAATTAAAGAAAAAGGCCTTTAACAAAGAGAAAGAATAGCGTAACAAAAAAAGAGTCAATAATACAGCAAACAAGTAAGAGTAAGATAAAAACGTATAGTGTCGAAGTTCAACCAATAGGGTATACAGCTGTGAAACTAAATCCTGATTCACATGTATATCGATGAGTTACGCAGGACCTATAACAGCAATAGAACCAAAGTCCAAGATGAACTAGCTATGTTTATAGTAAACATGTTGGAAACGGATGAACAATATATTCTGGTTTCTCAAAAGTAAAGTCACAAGTGAGGGAATATGGAATTGCACATAGGAAATCAGAAATAATCATGTGACAGTTCATGCACTTTAAACTTAATCGAAAAAGTGATAAGCTACAAACACAAGGAACTTCTGAGAAAAGCAGCAAAAGCAACCTCAGCCAAAGATTGTACACAGAACATGACACAGGAAGCATACGTATTGTCCTATTCAAAAGTAAGAAATGCATGGTTTTTACAGATAATCATACGTGAAAGGATAACATCAACATTAAAAGTTAACACTGGTGGAATTAGAACGTAAAATTTACTGTAATCTATTTCCAACAAGATTATAAGAGACTCTACATCACATAGGGCAGAAAAATTTCCATTGTCAGCGATCGATAAACAACCATAATTCGTATCAAACTTTGAGATATGATACCTTTTCATCCACAGTAAATCCAGAAGCCAGTAGTTTAACCCCATCCATTGCTAGGCAACAAGTGAATCCTTGTTTAGGCAGAGGCCTGCGTTCTTTTGCACAGGAAAGCACACATTGAGGACCTGCAGGGACAAAACACATCAGTACAACCAATGTCGCACACAAGGTCACTAATTCCTATAGTTCCTCAAATTTTTATCACCAAAAGAAAAACATAAAAAACCCAATGAGTAAAATCATTAGTTAAACAACCCCTCCTTAAGAACTCAATCTCCCTATCCATGTTGTATGAGGGAAAACTAAGTTTAAATACCACTGCTTCACCAAGATAAAAGCAATATTATCTTTTCTCCTCTGGGGTGATTGAGCTCAACCTTCCCACTTATAACATACCCCAAAGAATAATATAAGAAAATACCATTTTCTTTTCTCCTCCAGTTAGAAGGGTTCAAAACATGAAAATCTAGAAAAAGTACCACCAAGATGAATGATCGCATACACAGTCAAGAATTAGAGGGAAGTTTCTAAATAGACTGATCATTAATTAATAGATACCAAACCACAAAAACTAAATAACCAGAGAACAAATTACAGATCAACGATATACATAACAAAAAGATGGAACACAAGCAGAAATGATTCTTAATTGAGGATTTCACCCGAGTGTAAAAAGCATACCGAGCAAATTACATCCTTTAGATCGAAGATCCTCGAACTTCTCCTATAAAATTAACGGGAAAAAAAACATTAGAGGTTGAATCAGGATAAATAGTTCAAATTAAACCTCAAAATCAACCGTAAAATTGACGTGGCTAGAAATACAGAAAGGAATCAAAATTACATGATCAGGATTGGAAATGACGTGATAATCATTGGCAGAATTCCGCGCAGGGTCGCAGCAAAGAAAAACTTGGGCACCGTTGAGCTTGAGAGCATCGTGAAGTGAATCGAACAATTCAGGTGGGACGAGGTTACGCGACATGAAAACATTCGCACCTTTGAACACCTTGGTCGACATATTCGATTGAATTCAGCCACGCATTAGCAATTTAGAACGCAAATCTTTTTTGCTTTTGACACCAGGATATGTCGATTTGAGATTTCTAGGGTTTTAAATTTGAAAGAGGGACTATGACAAGAAAAAGAGGTTGAACTTATTTTCTATTGTCAAAACAGCGCGGGAATTTTTTTTATGAGTTAAAAAGAATTTGGATAAAGAAAAAATTCTCTCAAAAAGTGGAGCTGCTATGAATTATTGTGGGAAATGACAAAAATTAATGCAATCCAGGGTCTACTAGTACATTTTTATGCTACCAATTTAGACTTTAGAACTCTCCAATTACAGTATACTAGTGGAATTCAATGCACTTCGCGCGTAATATAATTTATTTATAAAATAAAATGTAGAAATCGAATTCTTTATTAAAAGCAATGTGGTAGAACATAAGATACTTTTTCCTTATTTCTAAAAATAGTTAGCATTATAAATTCTAAATTGTAATATTTTAAATAAAATCTATTAGCTACATTGTGGATTATTTTTATGTTATAGTAGAAGTAGATGGTACAATAGCATTCAATTAATAAGAAAAAGAAATTCCAGAGAATCGATGTCAAAAAATACGAATATTAAATGCATAGTTTGAATATATAGCTATAATTCTAAAATAAATTATTGTAACTAAAAAAAATTCCCTTTGTCCCAAAAAACATAATATACATGTGTCTGAATAATAAGAATAATAGGAATACAAAATGAATAGCTTCAAGCAACAATCACGGTTAATTCCATATAGATTATAATGTTAAAATTACAAGGAATTTTGTATAGTATTAGTACCTAATTTTGCAGTGATACTTACCCTCACACAGCTAATTCTCTGATCACGTTTTGCCTTCATCTAAATTGGCATTGCACCGAATTCTTCTATATCCATGGAACAATCGAGTTAACAACATAGAGGCATTATATCAAATTAGGGGTGATCTAAAACTGCTTATCTCTAATTTTTCTTTCTACTTATACTTTTCTAATACCAAAAGCAAGCCACTAAAGGAAGAAGGACAGCAATAATTAATAAATTACTTTAAGATTTACTTGATTAATAATTATTGTCATGAAGTGTCACCAGATTAAATAGAAAGATTAAAGGAGTGGGAATAAGAAATGGAAGAATAAGAATTTGAAGGATTTTTTTATATGGATTTAAAGTTAGTACGTGTGAAAGTGGGAACAATGAAATCCCCAACGCAATCCTTAATTAACATTCATTACAAATAATAACCACATGTAAATCATTAGTATTTGTTATTAGAATAATCAAATTTATGTTAATTCATTGGACAAATGTTTTTCTTCTTAATCAGTTACTTAAAGACTACACCAAAAGTTTGTCCAAACTAACTTTATATATATATATATATATATATATATATATATATATATACTAGATTTTTCGGCCCGCGATTACTCGCGGGCTAGATTTTACACTTTAGTAATTTTAATATAATTTTGGCTTCATTTTGTTTTAGATTGAGTTATTCAAACAAATTCTTTAAATTCAAATGTCTTGAGGTAATTGTCTATTTTTATCGTCTCATTCAATTATCTCTTTTGATTTGGTTATATCTATTTTTTTTTCAATGATAGTAGAGGTAAGATGGACATTCCATAAAGAAAATGTAATTAAATTTTTTAAGTTTGCATTATTTTATAACAAAAATATATGTAAACTAGTTGTGGGCCCGTGCGTTGCCCGGATTGTGGAAATATTTCGACATAATTAGTGCAGGAAAAAAAAACTTGATAAAAAGTGAATAATAAAAACACGGCATATATATCTTTAAAATTTTAGAAAAAAAAAGATTTCAAACAGTAAGTAAATACGGAAATCTGTATTGGCCAGACATTTTTTCTTTAATATGATTAAATGTGGTAACACATATGTAATATGTTAGAACATATAAAAGGGCACAACATCTTTATTATGATGTATGGTCTCGTTTATACATCGCTTAGCAATACAGTCATCTCATCAATCTTCAACACAAAGTTATTGTAGAAAAAAAAAAAGGATGAACTACCTGAAGTGGCTAATTCACCTTTCAAACGGGACGGAAATTGACTTTGCTTATGTACCAGACAGCTGTCACGACCTCTAATTTGGGTTATTTATAGTACATAAGATAATTATGGTCGTAGGGTTTAACATGTTATGGGATATTTTTGGTAAATATTTTATATGAGTAATTATATGATTTTGTGGATAGGTTAAAACTTAAGGCTTTACTGATAGAATTTGGAGCAAATAATTAATATATTTGGAGAGTTTGTGAATATGGATGGAATATTATTTTGGTTAATTTACCCATAATTTTAAAATAAATTTTATTTATTAATTTTCGGATGTGGGAGGGAATTAGGGTGATCAATTTAAATCTCATTATTTTTGAATTTTAAAATCATATCATGATGTGCCATAAATTTGGAAGTCATATTTGGAAATGATATTTATTGTGCTTTTTTGAAAATTCTGAAAGCGTTTAGAAACGTTTCAAAATCACGGTTGAAGTGCCATACGTTCAGACCATGTTCAATATTAACTAATTATTATGTTTTTTATTTACCTTAATTAATGAAATATATATGAGTAAATAAGTTAAATTAAATAGTTACTAATTTTTTTTACTATATCTAATTAGACTTGATTTTTATGATTGTTTGATTGGACATCTTATTATGTGACACATGTCCGAAAAGCTTATTCTCTTAATATATAGGATTACTATTTTAAGTTGAAAAATTAAAAATGTATGGTAATTGATGGTTAGACCTTTATTGAGTTAGTCAATATTTTCTATTATATAAGGATTATTATTTAATTAGAATATAGGGTTAAGACATTTTTGTATTAATGTAGAAGATCGTGGATACATTCTTATTATTTTTAAACTCTAAAGTGTCAAAAGTTATGAAGTATGCTAAGAATTTAGTAAAATACAGAAATGATTAATGGCACACAATATTTGTACTTCAAACAAAAAAGTATTCAATTTATGTGCATAATATCATTTTTTTTAATATTATGTTTTTTTACATTTTGGTTTACCATCATATCCTAAATTCATATATGTAGCAATTGTAATTGAGAATCACAAACAATAATATTATATAATTTGGTATAACACTTAAATTAAATTAAAAAAAAAACAATCAAGTGAACTCCAATTTTCATTTTGAAGTTGCTATATTGGCCACTCTGTGATACCACATGTGTTAATATTAATTTTTATGTAATCTATAGGTTGAACGATAAAAAAAGAAAGAAAGAAAGAAAGAAAAAAGAATGGGGCAAACGACCAAAAAAAGGCCAAAAAAAAAAAATTGCTCCCTCTTGCTTTAATGACAAATGTCCAAAACATGCGGTCCATCTAATTAAAAATTTTCAGACAATCTTGTGAAAGTACATAAATACCCTTGTACTACATGAGTGTTCCAACGACTAAAGATACTGTTGCAGTGGGTACTCTTGCTTTTATAAAACTCTAAAGTGTCAAAGTTATGAAGTATGCTAAGAATTTAGTAAAATACACAAATTGATTAATGGCACACAACATTTGTACTTCAAACAAAAAAGTATTCAATTTATGTGCATAATATCATTTTTTTTAATATTATGTTTTTTTACATTTTGGTTTACCGTCATATCCTAAATTCATATATGTAGCAATTGTAATTGAGAATCACAAACAATAATATTATATAATTTGGTATAACACTTAAATTAAATTAAAAAATAAAAACAATCAAGTGAACTCCAATTTTCATTTTGAAGTTGCTATATTGGCCACTCTATGATAGCACGTGTTAATATTAATTTTTATGTAATCTATAGGTTGAACGATAAAAAAAAAAAAGAAAGAAAGAAAGAAAAAAGAATGGGGCAAACGACCAAAAAAAGGCCAAAAAAAAATTGCTCCCTCTTGCTTTAATGACAAGTGTCCAAAACATGCAGTCCATCTAATTAAAAATTTTCAGACAATCTTGTGAAAGTACATAAATGCCCTTATGCTACATGAGTGTTCCAACGACGAAAGATATTGTTGCAGTGGGTGCTCTTGCTTTTATATAGTAGTAGATATAGTAGTAGATGTGAATATAGTAGTAGATGTGAAAGTACATAAATGCCCTTGTGCTACATGAGGGTTCCAACGACGAAAGATACTGTTGCAGTGGGGGCTCTTGCTTTTATAGTAGTAGATGTGAAAGTACATAAATGCCCTTATGCTACATGAGTGTTCCAACGACGAAAGATACTGTTGCAGTGGGGCTCTTGCTTTTATATAGTAGTAGATAGTAGATATATATTGATGATAATAATAATATAGGTTGACAAGAATAGCAAATCTTTAAATTCCTTATTGTGAACAAAAAAAAATTGATTGCATGCATAAATAGAAAGAAAGTGGGAAGAAACTCAAAGACAAAGAAGAAGAAAAAAAAATTAAATAGAAATATTGAATATACATATATAACCCTTTACACACAGATACTACTAAAATTTCACGTGTGAGAAGAGACAAACTCACTATTTGTATATAGTAGGCTATTTGGATCAAACGCATTTCGCGCGTATACAATATAATCTATTGTCAGTAATTGATATGTATAGTAATTTTCTTAGAACTTTTGCAATAGTGCGAGTTTTGAATATAAAATCGAGTAATTAATATCCTTAAAATATATATTTTTTAGTTTAGAAGATTATACATACTTAGAGCAACTCTAACCATTACATTACAATTTGCACCAAATTTAGTGTAAAAAGAGAATATCCTAAGTATCTTTTCACACTAAATGTCTTTACATTCCAACCTTGATGCACCAAATTCTTAAATGTTGTAGTTTATAATTTTATTTTGATACTTAAAAAATTTATTCTTTGGTGATGATGAAGCAAAACATTGTTAACCCAAGTGATCAGTATTGGTCCTAAAAGAGATACGGTCCTTCAGTCCGTATTATATATAGACCTTCCCAAGTGGGTCCCTTATTTGGAAGGTTCCTCAATAGTGAACTATAAATACCACAAAGTATTTACTTCAGGGAGTTAATTCACACTTTTCGTTCTTTCTATAAGTGTGTATTATTTTACTTTCTCTCACTATACTAAATTAAGTATCAGAGTGCTAATCTTTATCACCGCTATCGTGATTTTGCCTTCGTCAAGTGGCCCCACGTCCTGTGGGCAATTAGGAATACAATCCGCATAGCCACTGGATCCACCCCCTTTCGATCTCATCTGTGCAATGGAAGCCGTCATCCCACTGAAATCGAAGTACCCAGTCTCTGGATTGTCAACTTCGTTGAAGAAGAAAATGATGAGCTGACCCAAATCTGCTTAGACTTCCTGGACAAAACAAGGGACTGTGCTAAGGCCCGAGAAGCCCGTTACAATTAGCAGCAGTCTAAGTACTATAATGCCATAGTTCGAGCCTAGGAGCTTGTTATCGGGGATCTTGTTTTCCGAAGAAACGACGTCAGCCATGCTGAATCATATGGAAAGTTGTCTCCCAACTGGAAAGGACGTTATAAGGTCGTGAAAGCTTCGCCCTCGGGGAGCTACCGTCTGCAAACATGCCATGACGACCGTGTCCTCCTTCCTCGGTGGTGCAATATCCAAAACCTGAAGAGTTCAATATGTATTCTTGTTCGAAGGCTCACCTTTTGTAACAGATCCTTCTTTTAGCGGTATAGGATAATAGGGATGGGAAGGTTTCACCTCTTATACTCTCCAAAGTATGGCTTGATTATTAATGCAATTACGACCTTCCCCCAAATTATTTTGCATCCGAACCAAAAAGACTTGTTGACGTCAATACTCGTCCGATCTCAGGAAAGGTTGACGAGATGTTGTTCGACTACATGGCAGTTGGCAGAAAATCCCTAAAAGACTACAAGTCTTAGGATTCATAAATAACCTTCCGACCTTAAGAAATGTGGACGAAGTACTGTCCAACTATACGATAATCGGTAGAAAATCTCTAAAAGACTACGAGTCTGAAGATTCACAAATAACCTTCCGAACATCAAGAAAGGTCGACGAAGTACTGTCCGACTACACGATAGTCGACAGAAATTCTCTAAAAGACAATGAGTCTTAGGATTCACAAATAATCTCCCGACCTCAAGAAAGGCCGACGAAGTATTGTCCGTCTACATGATAGTCGGCAGATAATCTCTAAAAGACAATAAGTCTTAGGATTCACAAATACTAGTCTGAAGATAGTCGTTTAAGGGAGCCACCGTTAATGCAATTACCCTACGCTAGGTCTCCCTTAAGATAGTCCTTTTTTGGGGTTTTTTCTGAAATAAAAAATAGAAATTTTTTTTTTTGTGGTCAAATGTCGATGGGGCCCATGTCAAAGGAAAATAATTAAAAAATAAAAGAGTTAATAGATTAAGGGTGCCAACGTTAATTTTTGAAAAATTATGATAAATGGATCAACATTGATGAATAAATAAAAAGACGGTGACCATTTTTGTCAGTCTAAAATTAATGATGATTCAAAGTTGTGACCCCCCAAAATTTAGGTACCAAAAGTGCATTTTGTCCAATAAAAATTAGAAAAGAGTTGATTCTTTCTTTGTTTGATTGTTTTTTTTTCCCTTTTGTTTTGTTGACTTTGTTTCAGTGCTTAAAAATTTAAGTGTTCTCTCCTATGATATTTTGTAGTTTTGGGTTCAAATTCTTAGACGGATGATGACAATTGATTCAAGGGAGAAAAATACGTTACATGGAGAAAAGTAGGTCAAATTGTTACGTGATTTTAGTTGAGGGCAAAATCGTCTTCAAAATGTTCTTTTTGCATTGGTCATTAAAACACATCAATTTTTCTCCAGTCATATTGTGGGAGATTAAGTTTAGGGATGTATCAACAAGGGGTTGCCCAAGTGGTAGTGGGCATGACATCAAAACCTGAGGTCCCAAGAGGTCTCAGATTCAAACCCCGCTAACACCACCTTTGTGTGTTGAGTTGTGCAGATTAGTGGTAGTGGGCATGACATCAAAACCTGAGGTCCCAAGAGGTCTCAGATTCAAACCCCGCTAACACCACCTTTGTGTGTTGAGTTGTGCAGATTATCTTGCATCCGTAACTTTCCAGTACCAGATCGAGGTGTGAGCGCGTGGAGTCTTTCCAGTACCCGTCAGGAAAACCTTTAGGGGTGTTCTTGATATTCCTAATACCTCGGGGGTATTTTTGATAATGAACTAAACCTCGGGGGGTGTTTTTGACATTCGCCCAAACTAGAAAGATACGTCACTATCTTTCCTTCCCATTCTTGGCCGCCTCCCAAACCTTTTCACTGTTTCTCTCTCCTAGCCTTGTTCATCTGAACGTGGTCTTCTTTCCTTTTCATTTCCTCCACTCGCTTTTCTTTCTTCACTCTTTTTCTTCTCCTGTTTGTTCTAAAACCAGCAAAATTCCTTCAAAAAGAATGGAGTAAAGCTCCAAAACTCTCCCACTTGTAGTCAACCTGAAGTCAACGGGTCCAGGATCAATGTACCGAATCCCGGCTGTATTCCGTGCCCGAGTCGACTCAGGGCTGTCTGGGTATATAGTTTAAAAGGTACTATTTTGATTCTATTTGTGATTTTTCTTGTTGTTTGATTTCATTTCTTGCAATTTTGTGATCTGATTGGAGTGTTTGGAGGTGGGTTTTGATTCTTCTGTGTTTTGATTGTGTTATATGACTGTGTAAGACGTTGAAATTCTAGAAACATAGATAAGATCCTTATGGTGGTCTATATGTTTTTGTTACTACTTCGACTATATTGATCACGTGGATATCAAACTTTTGGTGGTTTGGACTTCGTATGAGCTTAGATCAAGTTTCGTTTTTTTTTTTCCCTTCTATTTTACTCGTTTTACTTTGGTATTATATGTAGTAACGTAACCACCTGAAGATGCCATTTTGTTGGTTTGTTTGGTATTTTTTGGCGGTGATTGCCATTCTCTGAGGTAGGTTTGGAATTTCAGTAGAATTGGTGGTTTATCAAAGGAAGGATTTGTACAGATTGTTTGATGTTGAAAAAATGGTTAGAATGAAGGGTTTAAAGGAAAGTTGGGCTTCTGGAGACCATATGCCTGAGTGTCAGTTCGGCACTTGTGTTGGTATACGTAGGTAAAAGGGCGAGTTTCTCTGGTTTTACTTGTGTGGTAGTTTTCTAAACAAATCTCTAGTTGCGTGTTTGTCAGTGTTCATCTGGTACCCATTGCAGGTCAAGTAGTAATTTTGATTGATTATAATATGCTGGGTTTCTCCCATGTTTTGTTTACTTTGCTGTCATAGTTATGAAGAATGACAATGAATACCACTTTCTCTGGTTTTCATAAAGGTTCATATTCTAAGATTGTGTGTTCTTGTACCAGGTATCTTGTGAAAGAGCTGTCAGCTAGAGACATTTCGAGGGTATGGAATCCTGTAACTGCATTGAGCCTCAATGGCCGGCTGATGAGTTGTTGATGAGATATCAATACATCTCAGATTTTTTTATCGCTCTGGCTTATTTTTCCATACCCTTGGAGTTAGTCTACTTTGTCAAGAAATCTGCTGTGTTCCCCTACAGATGGGTGCTGGTGCAGTTTGGGGCATTTATAGTTCTGTGTGGTGCTACACATCTTATAAACCTATGGACATTTAACATGCACTCAAGAACTGTGGCAATAGTCATGACTGCAGCAAAGGTCTTGACTGCTGCAGTGTCGTGTGCAACTGCTCTAATGCTCGTACATATAATTCCTGATTTGTTGAGTGTCAAAACTCGGGAACTATTCTTGAAGAATAAGGCCGCAGAACTAGATCGGGAAATGGGCCTAATTCGCACACAGGAAGAAACAGGAAGACATGTTAGAATGTTAACTCATGAAATAAGAAGCACTCTTGATAGGCATACCATTCTGAAGACTACACTTGTTGAGTTGGGAAGAACTTTAGCACTGGAAGAGTGTGCATTGTGGATGCCCACACGAAGTGGGGTAGAACTTCAGCTTTCATACACTCTTCGTCACCAAAATCCAGTTGGCTTCACTGTACCTATACAACATCCTGCAATTACTGCAGTTTTTGGTACAAATCGTGCAGTAAAAATTTCTTCAAATTCTCCTGTAGCAAGACTGCGTCCTTCTGGGAGGTATATGCCTGGAGAGGTTGTTGCTGTTCGTGTTCCGCTGCTGCATCTCAATAATTTTCAAATAAATGACTGGCCAGAACTCTCAACAAAGCGTTATGCGCTCATGGTGTTGATGCTACCATCAGATAGTGCACGACAGTGGCATGTACATGAGTTAGAGCTTGTGGAAGTTGTTGCAGATCAGGTTGGGGCTTCTCCACTCCTCTATGACTCTTTCTTGGTTTTCACAGTGATCTAGGCTCATTTTCATCATTTTGGACCTTTCTACTTGAATATGTTTGGGTCAGGCATTTATCATAGCAATCTTGCTGAGTTTACCAGGACTTCCGTAGTGGTTAAGCTGATTTTTTTTCTTTCAAGAATGAGGGAATGGGATTGCTTTGGAATGATTCTTATTTTTCATGTAATTATGATGCTTTGTAGTGTTGATCCCATGGTCTAAACAAGGTCTAGAAATGAGAGTAGCCTGACCCTTTGTTTCTTATATTTCTAAATGTGCCTACCTCAGCTTGTTGATTTGATCTTGGTATGTTCATAGGAATGAGAAGGCTGTTAAATTCAAACTTTTCCTTCTTGTGATGCGCAAACAGCTTTTTGTTTATTTTTAGCTGAATGTTACGAGGCCAGGTCCAGATGGTTTTGACCAGATAACGAAACAACTATGTTATAAGATTCTCTTGTTATTTGTCTTTGAGAAATGTCCTTGTTGCTGTTTTCATTTTGTTATGTACTTGGCTTTTGTGTTCATCAACCAGATGACACTCATAGAAAATCTCTAATATTTGAAATAGCCTCATACTTTTTTCACGTTTTCTTGGATTTTTCTTTGGTTGGTGCTGCCTACCTACAACCAATAATTCTTGAAAATGTAAACCATGCAGTTGCTTATTTGTACTATTTTTGCTTGGTCCAGGTGGCAGTTGCTCTTTCTCATGCAGCGATTTTAGAAGAGTCAATGAGGGCTAGAGATCTTCTCATGGAGCAAAATGTTGCTCTTGATTTGGCTAGAAGAGAAGCAGAAACAGCTGTTCGCGCCCGAAATGATTTCTTGGCTGTGATGAATCATGAAATGAGGACACCTATGCATGCTATAATTGCACTGTCGTCTCTACTACAGGAGACTGAACTAACGCCCGAGCAACGTTTGATGGTTGAAACTATTCTCAAAAGTAGTAACCTTCTGGCTACCCTGATCAATGATGTATTAGATCTTTCGAGGCTGGAAGATGGTAGTCTGCAACTTGATATTAGTGTTTTTGATCTTCACGGTCTTTTTAAGGAGGTGAGATTGGAATCAAGCATCATTATTGGCTTCAACCTCAATTATAGTGATGAACTTCTCCTTTGACTGGTTTGTATCTTGCTTCATAGGTGTGGCTGATTCATGTGGTTTGTCCATGATTGCAGGTTCTTAACTTGATAAAGCCCATTGCATCAGTTAAAAAGTTGTATGTTACTCTGAGTTTGTCACCAGATTTACCAGAGTATGCCATTGGTGATGAGAAGAGGCTAATGCAAGTCTTGTTAAACGTTGTTGGCAATGCTGTAAAATTCTCCAAAGAGGGAGGAATCTCGATCTCTGCTTCAGTAGCAAAATCTGAGTCTTTAAGAGATCCACGTGCTCCTGATTTTTTCCCAGTGCCCAGTGATCATCACTTTTATCTGCGCGTACAGGTACTGTTCACTTTTATCTATCTTTGCTCTATATTTATATATATCGAGTCGAGAAATCTATAATATTTAGTGTAATATTTAGAAGATAATAATTAAAAAAAGATAGATTTTGTGATGAACTCATTAGTCCAAATTGGCGGTTTTAAGCTCTATCCATGTACAATTTTGTTATATGCTACATAATGACACTTGTGTTGCAATTCACAGGTGAAAGATACCGGATCGGGAATTAATCCCCAAGATATTCCTAAGCTATTCACCAAATTTGCCCAGAGCCAGTCATTAGCAACAAGAAATGCTGGTGGAAGTGGTCTGGGTCTTGCAATTTCCAAAAGGTTCTTCAAATTCTTGCACTTCTTTTTCTACCTTTGGACCACACTTAGAATTCTCTATAATCCATGTTTCTGATGGAGGAACATTCAATCAAGAATGTTTTCATTTCAAACCTGAAACCTTTTTCCTGTTTGTCAGATTTGTTAATCTCATGGAAGGGCACATTTGGCTGGATAGTGAAGGTCTTGGTAAGGGATGTACAGCTGTATTTATGGTGAAGCTTGGCACCCGTGGGTGCTCAAATGAAGCCAAACTCCCATATTTGGCCAGGGCTACAACAAATCACATGCGGACTAATTTTCCAGGGCTAAAAGTTCTTTTGATGGATGATAATGGGTAAGTTTCCTGTCGGCGCTCTCAATAACTTCATTCTTGCTTGAGAATTAACAAAGGCTTGTTGATTAAATGTGGCTTAGACGCTTAGTGACAAAATATTTGCTTCAATGGGGGTAATGGATTTATGAGTTTGGAAAGAATGAGTAGTAGGCACAGAATCATGGACTCAAAATTTGTGGGGAAAAAGGAAGACATAAAATGATTGGAAATTTATTGTTCAACTTTACGTGATTTATCTGCATATGCATATTGATTTATCGCATGGTAGCATACATGGTCCACATAGTGGCATGAAACCTTTATTTTATTTCAATTTTTGTTTTGTTTTTGTAGCACGGTTTATGGTCAATGTGCAAACAGTGTCTTTCAAGCCCGATGATTTTTCTTGAATTTCTTGCAAATGGCTACAACAACTAGTCTCAAATCTCTCTCTGGCCATATCTACAACCATTATATGGGTTTTTTTTGGTCTTGAACCTTTCCATATGTTTTTTTTTTTTTAAGACCACCTTCCCTGATGTGAAAGTACACAAAACGAAGTATAACTGTACAAGTATGTGGGTTTCAAGATTTTTCTTTCTTGTCTCGCTGATCTTTTCGTTTTTGTGCTGTTGCTACATGACATCATTTATTCCAAATTTGACAGTACGATTGCTTTTTTTTTCTTGAAAGGGTTAGCAGGATGGTGACCAAGGGGCTGCTGGTGCATCTGGGCTGTGATGTTACAACTGTCAATTCTGGAGACGAATGCTTGAGGGTGATCAGCAATGAGCACAAAGTCGTGTTTATGGACGTAAGTCTACCTGGTTTGGATGTATACGAGGTTGCTGTTCGTATACATGAGAAATTCTCAAAACGACGCGATGGACCATTCATTGTGGCCCTAACCGGAAACACGGACAGGGTGACCAAGGAAAGCTGCATGAGAGTGGGGATGGATGGAGTCATACTAAAGCCTGTTTCTGTAGATAAAATGAGAAGTGTCCTATCCGAACTTTTAGATCACGGGGTTTTGCTGGAGGCTAAGTAAGTCTTGCAAGAGCTATTGTTGATGGGGGCTATAAATAAGTGTACAAGAAAACTGTGTTCAATATGGAAAAGAATTTGAAGAAGTGAAGCACCAAGATAAAGAGAGCTTGTGTTCATTCCCCTTCAATACTTTCTTGTATATACGGCATAACTTTTGCCACCGGAAAATTGAAAAGTAGGGCAATGATGCTCATAGTTTAACATCTAGTGCATGCTTATACACTATTGTAGAATCTATTACTGAGATTGATGGCGATAATTATTTGAACTTTGCACGCGATAATGGAGAGATTTTCTTCTTCTTCTTCAACCATTGTTCAGCGAAGAGTGTGCAAAATCTTTAGCAGTGAAGAGCCTCTAGGGTGAAGGGCTCAATCCCTTGTTACACAGGTCACAGGTTACACGGAAAGAGGACACTCTGAGATTGTGTGAAATCTGGGCATATTCAAGGAACTGAGAAACGTGTTCTTTCACGAGTGACAGGTGGGGAAATGATTGCCTAAATGGGTATGAATTTTTTTATGCGCCAGGGGCCTCAATTCTAACATATAGCAAAGCGTTTCAGTAATTCAATTAACTGTGAGAGAGAAAAAAGAATTCTAGTCCAACTGATGTAACAACCAAACAAAACAGCAACAAGACACATGCTTTGGTCCTCAAATCAACAAAAAACAAGAATGAAAAGAACATAGGGAGGGTAACATGGACGCCTGAAAAAGGGACAAGTGACTAATGTTTGTCATTTCATACTTAGCTCCTTTATATTTCAACTAACCTTACATTTTATTTCTCATTATCCATGTTACTTCTTCCAAGGCATACATACTCATCCAACCAAAACACTGGTGGAGTCAGATTAAGTTTAATTGAACCTTTTCGAGAGAAGTAAAGATCTCTTAGGAATTGTGTTATGTGTAGATTCAAACTCGGAACGTGCTTAAAGAGAACCAACTCATCATCACTTGATATCAAGAGTTACTGGTCTTTGATGCCATTGTTTTAGTATGGATTAGGACAATCGCCGTGTAAACATTTTACTTGATTGGATTCTCTTCCTAGGCCAACATCATTGTAAATTGGACGTTTTATGAAACCATGACGCATGCTTCAAACTTTTCCATGTAATAACTGAAGAAACTTCCTTTTGGACTATTGTATCAAACAGCAACAAGACACATATATGTTTGGTTGCTTCTTCAAATAACAACCCCCCCACCCCCCCCAAAAAAAAAAGAAAAAAAGAAAAAAAAGAGAATGAAAGAACATATGGATATAACATGGGATGCCTGATAAGTAAGTGACAAGAAACCGATTTTTGTCATTTCATGCCTTAGCAGTTAGCTCCTTTGAATATCAACTTGACCTAAAATTTAACTTCATAAATATAGATGCGCATTTTACTTTTACAGCATAGTTGGCCCCTTTTGTCCTCTTATGTGCAATATTTAACTAGTGAATTCGGCCAAATTGCAGTATCATTTTCCTTAACTAATACTTTTCCCCTTTTTAATGTATAACTATTTTTGTTGTAGCGTTTTAATTTAATTAAATTAAACATGAGATAAACAGAACTATTTGGGCCTTTCTTCTTTCCCCCTTTTTTTAATTAAAAAAAAAGATAATAGTTTATGTGTAAAAGCAAATAGATTGCATCAATAGACAATTGAAAGGATTACAATTTGTCATAAACATTTTATATATCTAACCGCATATGAGTTACTCTGGTTTTGTGTTACTGTTTGTTTTATGATATTACTTTCGATAGTGCAAATGTAACTGCCAATATAATACATTTAGACCCTTTTACAATTAAAAAGAAAAATCATCGGAATTAAATTTATTTTTCACTAAGATATGAGTCTATGATTACGTTGACATGAAAAGAATTATTATTTCTAGATAGAGGGTATTTTTTTTTCCCTAAATGAATGTGTTTATACAACCATATATATATATATACACTTATATTTTATCAAAGCATAAAATTATTTTTTCTCGGATCTAATTTATTGGGTTTTTAACATAAAAGTTTAATATTTTCCAACAATATCTTTATTGATTTGGTAGAGTATATGTGTGTTCCTTTCTGGTTGATAATTATGAACAAAATGGACAGACACCGTTTTTTTTTTAATTTTTTTTTTCTGTATTGTACCTTTAAAATTTAATAAATCTGTATTAACTATAGTTATGAGACGAGACAAGTTAAAAACGTAGTGTAAATGGTTATTTTCCTTATTTAATCAGCTTAGCTATATTGAGAATTCTTATTTTTTCCACAAATTAGTTCGCTGTAGCACTGGCAAATTTCACAAGTAATGAAATTCTGGGTTCGAAGCCCGGCAGCGAAAATGAATTTTTTTTTTGAAGAGTTTTATTTCTATCATCTCTTTCTTTTTTGGCATTTGTTTCTGACAAATTCTTTAAGGAAGGTCCAAGTTGCATCTACTAAAGAATATATACAAATTAAGATTTTTTTTGCGAAAAACTAAATATATAAATGAGGAAATTATATTCCATTTTACATTTAATGAAACCCAATCTTAATTATAAACGAAAAATTGCTAGAAGTTTCAAACTTGTGACGTCTTCCAAATTTATTTAGCAAATAAGAGCGTCATTATTATGAGATTAAAGCTTAAAACTAGTACAATTGTTTGTTTTATCTATTGAGTTATTGGTGCAGAACAAGATGTTTTAAGTGAACATACACCGCATCAATACAACTTGCACGTACATCATTATCATTACAAGAGTAACCTTTGATTGGACCTGATGAGTGTACCGATAAAATAATTAAGATCGAATGGTTCAAAAATAATTTTATCATAGATAAAGTTAAGAACTGACTCAAAAAGGACTGGTAGTTATTTATATTTGCCCTCCACAGCTAGAGATAATTCTGTTACCTTGAGGGCGGTTAAAAATTTGGTTTTAATTTGCATGGTGAAATAGTGAAAGGGGTACGAAATTGGAGTTAATAATCTCTGGGCGCATGTATAGATGATGGCGATGATAATTCATGCATGCATGGGCTTTCTACGTGCTCATAAAAGAACAAGGGAATATTTGTTAGACAAGGGAATCATGTTATAAATTATTGGTTCCGTCAAAATAATAACCGTCTGATTTTTACAACAGAAATTTGAATCAAATGGTGGTAGTATTTACCTGCTTCGTAATGATAATAGATCAATTTTTAAGAAAAAAGTCCAATCCCTCAAATTTAGACCATTTATCATATTTTGGATGGAGTGTAGATGAGTGCTGTTAATTTATTGAAGATAATTCCATTTGTTCCACTGTCAAAAGTCACTTTCACCATGCATATTAATTTGTATAATGTGTTTGGTTGGCGAGTTTTCGTATCACAAATCGACTGATTTTATACTCTAATTAGCATATTAAGATTTGGTAGGTGGATTTTAAACTGTCAAAGAACGAATTGATATAAAATCTCCATAATGCTTTCCGCCCCCGATATTGTAACAAGAGATCTTTAAGCAAGTTTGGGAGTTGGAAGATTCAAATTTATATAGTATCCCTCTACTCCTAATTATAAAATACTCCTGAATTACATTTATTTCTGAGTTACTTTGTGTCTTTTATAATTAGGATTCGGAGGGAGAGTAGCACATTAAGATTAAGTAACGGTTCCCATATTAAAACAGCACATGGGAGTTACACATGTTTCAAATTGTTCAAACTTCAAAGTAGCTATATGAAGAACTTCCACGTGGACTCATGTATGAATCAAACAGAGACCGAGTAAGAGTAACATTGAATTCTTATACCGTCTTCATGAGTCTTGAGTCTTGACTAACACCCAGGTTCCGCCATCGATTCGACTATTTTTTTTTTTCTGACACAATGAAAGAGATAAATACCTGGAGTTCTAAGTTATTACAGTACGTTGGTAAGATGTTTTAACGATATCATGTTGAATCCACGTTTTAATAACAATAGGAGGTACTTCTAGTCATTGTAATCCGCACGAACTATCTATCGTATCGGGAATCTTTATAAACGTCAAAGGGGAGAAAATACAAATATTTAATTATCATCATGTAAATTCCATGGGGCAAACATTAGGTTTTCTTCATTGTTTTTCATCCTTTGTGATTATCTATAAGCATGAAAAGCTCTGAATTAAAAAGGGAAAATTATAAGTATATTTTCCTTAAGAAAAAAAGAAGTTAAATTAGGCAGAGAATTTGCTAGAAGTTTGACCATAAATGTTCCCTCACTGGCTCACAGCATGCTTTAAAACAACAGTCAACATCACTATCAAAAGAAGAATAAACAAAACATTTCTATGCATAACGAAAAATTTACAAGTAATTGGGCTGGGAAGACTGAAGAGTCCCGTTAAATGTACCGGCGGCGAACGTTTGAAGGGATCATCTATCCACGTGCATGTTGCAGTCTACTCTACGAAATTGCATGTGATCATTTCCCAATTGTTAGGGCATGTTTTTTATTTTTTTAATTTTTAATTTTTTTTTCATTTTGCTATGCATACATATTTTCAATTTTTTTTGAATGTGCTTTAAGGAAGATTAACTTAAACTAAATAATCTAATAAAGTGCAATGCAGGAACTATAAATATTAAAAGTAAAAAGTATAATATCACAAAATTCACCTTATAAGTTATAGCCTTTTCGCTATCAATAAGAAAAAAGAGAGTAGAAATGTTGAGATTTCCAGTCTGGTAGTATGAAAGCTTTTACTAATGTTTGATCATTGTTCATTGCTTTTCCTTTATACTTTTTTTTTTTGTTATTTACAATTTAGAAAACTTTTTCATGATTCTAGATCGGTTTATTTTATCATTAGTAGACCCCATCTGCCCATTCAATTTTAGTTTTTTTTTTTAATGAAATAAAATGTGTAGGAATCGTTGCTCATCATATACACCTTAGAGTTGAGAGGCAATCTTAATCAACGTGTGTAGATAAATTTCATAAGCTACATGATTATTCGTAACTACTCGTCGAGACCTTATATCATGATTAAAAAATCGAGTAAATTGATGTCAATGTATTCACTATATTTTTTTTACTCTATTCTTTTTTGTTGTAGAAATATATTGATGTAATAACTTGCAAACTCAATGGGCGGTAAATTACCCTATTTGGAGTTGAATGGTGTAGTCTCAGCAAAATGTATCAAATTTCTCCCAAGATTTTGGAAAGTTAGTTCTGAATGTTTCAAATCCTACCAATATTTGGCCTTCCAAGCATATTCTAATAATTTAAATGGTCTAATTGCTTTCGATTCCAGGGTTTGTAACTCATTGGGTTGTCAAACTGTATTCTTGATTTAAATCAGAAATTAATTATTATGTATTGTGTGTATCGATAATTTTAATAATGATCTTGATGGATAGTGTTAGGATCCTAGCTTCAATACACCCCATAAATTGGGTGACTAATATTTCAATCGAAATCAAGACAACTCAGTGTTGCAATATGAAAATATGATTCTATCTATGGTAAATATATTAATACAAATTTCAAAATGTGTAACGGAGAGTATAACATGAAAGTGTCATCGAAAACCCAATCGGTAAATCACAAATTGAAATTAAAATTTTGAAGTGATAATTGTAACTTTATCGATCATAAAGAAAATAAATTTTGTACGAAATCATGAAACAAGGAAAAGGTCAAAATGAATGAATATTTACATTTTACTACCATTACTCCACCCATGCTCCAGAAAGTAGCAATGTTTAACATTGCATTGTTGTATTGTTTTGGACGGTAAGTGCACTTTGTAAATATATAATCCATCCGTCTCTGAAAAAAAAAAATAGTTCAAATCAAATATGGAGATTTATACTAACAACACTATAAAAAATTGAGAATATAAAGAATATTTATTTTGTAGTAGAGAATATAAAAAATTGATTGGGATGGATAATCTAAAGAATTAGCAATTTTTTTTTCCAGTCATACATTTGAATTGATCATTACGTAGAATGGATAATCTACGATTTCTGATTTAGGTTCACATACATTATAAAATTAAAGTCATTATTACCGTGATCCCCAAAAAGTAGCAAATGCCCCGTTATGTAAATAGTAGCAATACATATCCGTATACACGTAAAAATAATTACTAAAATAAAAAGATTTTTGAAACTCATCATCAATTTACAGTCAATTTACGACTCTCTACTGATTTTGTTTTGAGCGATCAAACAAATTTCCAAAACACATCTAGTTCTACATGATCTAATACACTGATATCCTGGTTTCACTTACGATACTCACAATGACCTCAAAGGCCTTGGCATCAAATGGATGTATAAGGCCATTTTTTCGATATTTAATCGAAAATATACCAGTAAATATCAAGTGTATGGAAAAGGTGAGAGGGATGATACACAAATGAAAACTAAAATATGTAATAAAGTGAGCATCAAAATTAGTATGTCTTATCAACAAATCGATAGAATATCAGATTTGTCAAGAACTTTGTATTGTAAAAATTATTATCTGATTATTAGTTTGAAAAAAAAAAGGTCATTAACTCATTATGCTATACTTAGTAAAATGTGAAAATATCACTACCAGTAATTTATCACTTGGGAAAAAGTTACTATACTACAATAAACAAATATATTAAACGGGTGCCTAAAAATGTGCTTATGCTTAACTTCCTTTGCAATGCGCAAAAAGTAAGGCGTCGATTCGTCGACACTCTGGAAAGCCGCCAACGCCCGAGAAGCAGCGAATCTTTTTCCCCCACTCAATTCCTTTTTTTTTAATCATCAATCCCAAAAATCCGCCATTTTTTCCCCATTCTCAAAACACAACAAAAGAGCTCTCTTCTTTTATTTCTCTCTCTCTCTCTCTCTCCGGTTTCTGTTCCGCCCGACGCCATTACCGGCGTCGTTTCAATTGGCTGCGGAGAAAACAACCGAGATCTCTCCGCCTTCCCCGGAGATGAAAGTCACGACGGCCATGGGGAATTGTAGTGTTGGAAACTGTAAATGTAACCATAATCAGAATTACGAGTTTGATAAGGATGCGGATTCGTCGTCCGTCACCGGCGGCGGCGCCGGCGGCGGCTCCGGGGAGGATGTCGACGGGGATGCAAGCGGAAGTGGAAGTGTAGTTGTGGTTGGAGTGAAAATGGATTCTAGAAGTAAGGAGTTGCTTACATGGGCTCTGGTTAAGGTGGCCAACTCCGGAGATCGCGTCATTGTCGTTCATGTCATTGATCCCAAAACTGGTACCGGTTTATTGCATGCTTTTTTGCTAATTGTTGATGACAGGGAATTTTCGTGGTTTTTTTTTTTCCATGATGGGAAAAAAAATTATTTTGCTTTACTTAATTTCTCTGTTTTCTTTGTTTGGTTGCTTGCTTGATTCGAGAAGAGGATAAGACTTCATTGCTTTTGCTTGTGAAGACATTTGATTCCGTGCTTGCTGCTTACGATGGCTTTTGTAATTTAAAACAGGTAACACTTGTTTATCACTTTTTCCACTCTCTTCGAGACTGAAATTGTTTATCACTTGTTTAAAGTTGAAGGCAAAATTGCTGAACCAAAGTTGAACAGTTCTGAAGAAATTCGTGAAAAGAAAATTTTTACTGTTAGAGTAGTTTTTACAGTGGTTGCAATTGATCTTTTAGTTAGTTTCTCCTATTCAAGTTAAAAACATTTTGTGAGGGAGACTGAAGTTATTTGGGAGAAACAATTTTTCTGGGGTTTGAATTGGTTTGTGATTTTTATCAAGTTTAGGATGAATGTGTAATACTTTAAGGAGAATGGGTAATGTTTTTTCCCCTTCATAATTTGTGTTGATTAAGATTGGTGTTATTTGTGACTTTTTTCTAATATCTGAATTAAGATTGGTGTATAGTTTAGAGAAGGTATAAGGATGATATTGGTTCTGGACTTGTACTCAATTTGACTTCGCGTGGACCTAACTGTTGAGGTTGATATATTTTTATTTAGGTTGATCTTAAGCTTAAGGTTAGCAGAGGTTCCCCAGTCCGCAAAGTTTTAGCCCAAGAGGCAGTGTCTCAGGGTGCTATGAGCTTAATCGTTGGGACTTCAAGAACACAACGCCCAATGCACTCAGCAGTTGCAGTGGCCAAGTATTGTGCCAGAAGTGTTGGACAGAATATATCAGTTACAGCTGTGAATAATGGCAAGATATTGTTTCATAGGGAAGCAGCGCCTTCAGTAGGCTTCAATTTACAATGTTTTCATGCAAAGGAATTCGAAAAAGGGAGGAAGGAAACTGTGAATGATAATCTTACCTTGCCAAAAGCATTTACCCGTGTGGGTCCGTCTTCACAGTTGTCATCATCAAGTGGTGGTGAAATGGGTGACTCCCTGGCATTGGTGCCCTTCCGAAACCAGGAAAAACCTGAAGCAAAGGCGAGATGGGCTCTGCTTCGTAAGGTTCTTGTCAGGAAACAGAAGGTATCTGCACAATCTCCAGTCAAGAAGAGATCTGTGATGCATTGGATATTGAAGTTACCAAGCCAGAAATCCTTTGCAGTTGTTAGTCCTGTTCAAGAACAGAATGATTTAAATAACAATTTAAATATTGGGTGTGATGATCTACCCATCTCACATCCTTCTACTTTCAGTGTGGAGATCTCCCCTAAAGAACTGGAGGGCCTTTCAGAGAAGTACTCGTCGGTATGCCGATTATTCAGCTATCAGGAACTTCTTACAGCGACATCTAATTTTAAAGCTGGTATATCTTATGTTCCCCCTAATTGGTTTTGCATATGCTTAGTAATTATCATTAGCATGTGGGTTTCTCATTATCTTGCTTATGTCATGTCAGAGAATATGATTGGAAAAGGTGGTAGTAGTCAGGTTTACAAAGGGTCTTTTCCAGATGGTATGGAACTGGCTGTCAAAATCCTCAAGCCAGCAGAAGATGTTTTTCAGCAATTTGTTTCTGAGATAGATATTATAACAAGTGTGAATCACCGAAACATAATCACCCTAGTCGGGTTCTGTATCGAGGATAACAATCTACTGTTGGTGTATGAACTTTTATCCCGAGGAAGTTTGGAAGATAATCTTCACGGTACATCACTCTTTTTGGACCAATTTTTCTTATTTTTTCGTGGTTTGTGGTTCTAATTGGCCATCTTTGAAACAGGCAATCAGAAGATCAGTAATTCATTTGGTTTGGAAGAAAGATTTAAGGTTGCTCTGGGCGTTGCTGAGGCGTTAGAGCATTTGCACAATGAAGCAACTGAACCTATCATTCATAGGGATGTGAAATCTTCAAATATTCTGCTTTCTGATGATTTTGACCCCAAGGTAATCATCTAATAGTTCACGTGAAATTAGGTTGCTTAACTACATATTCGATATAACTGTTTACCCTGAAACCCTTTTTTTTTTCAAAAAAAAAAAAATTCCAGTTGGCAGATTTTGGGCTCGCTGTGTTGTCGTCGAGTTCCTCCCATCCAATTCAAAGCATTGATGTTGCTGGAACATTCGGGTCAGTAAGGTTCTCCACATTTCCAATTCTTTCACCTGGTTAATCTTGTTAATAATCATTTGTGTTGTCGCAGATATTTGGCACCAGAGTATTTTATGCATGGGAAAGTGATTGACAAAATTGATATCTATGCATTTGGAGTTGTTCTGCTTGAGCTTTTGTCTGGTAAAAAGCCGATAGACAATGGACATCCAAAGGGCCCTGAAAGCCTGATTACTTGGGTAAGTTTTAAATGATGAGATGTTGAATGCACATAACCATAGTTATAACAACTAATTGTCAAAGTGAGAAAGGATAACTGATTGACATGTATCATTTAACAACTGTCTGTTTAATTTATTGAACAAAATTCAGATTAAGGATTCATTATGTACATTTAGGATACTTAAGGATTAGATTCTATACTTCTCTTAAGTAATGATGACAACTTTTGCTCTTCTAGGCAAAGCAGATTCTGAAAGAAGGAAAGGTTTGTGATTTGTTGGATTCAAGCTTGAAGAATTCTTATGATTCTGATCAAATTGATAAGATGGTCTTAGCTGCGAGCCTTTGTATCAGACGTTGTGCTCAATCTCGTCCTAGTGTTGGCATTGTAAGGCATTTTTGTATCTTACAGGGTATTGTGTTTTTGTCTGTTATGTTATCCTTCTTGTCATAAGATTGTTTTGGTTGTTGACTTGAAACAGATTGTTAAACTCCTTCACGGTGATCAAGAAACAATTGAGTGGGCGAGACAACAGGTCAATAGTATCGATGAAGTTGATTCTTCGGAGGGTGAACATTCTTCCACAAACATCCAGTCTTTCATTAACCTTGCTTTACTTAATTTGGAGGATGATACCCATTCCAGTAGCAGCACAGATAAAACAATTTCTGTCGAAGATTATCTACATGGAAGATGGAGCCGCTCATCAAGCTTTGATCAAACATTGATGTGAACTATCTGAAAGTTTTAGCATTCTTTCTTGTACATATAAGTTTCTCTTGTCATTGTCTTTAGAAGGTCTTGGATGAGAGGTTCTGCACAAGTTAAGACCTCCTCCTCTGCCTGAGTTGTCCGTCCTTTTGTAGTAATTTGGGCTTCTTTTTTGGATTGTTTTAGGAATTTATTCTGCCAATGTCCATGTGAATGTCATTAAGTAAAACCATCTGTTTGGCAATCTGCAGTTAGGTTTCTTGTAACACGGTGAAGTGAGGTATATAAAGGAGTATTGCATTTTATTTTTTTTAAAAAAATGGATTGGTGATGTTCTTTTTATCTCATGCATTACTTCTCTACTTAGATGATTCATAATGTCAAAACCAAAAACAAGAAGGCAACTTTACACCGTTTTTGACAATAATATCCCTAATGAAAGCTCATTGAACTCATATTTATGAAGGGTAATGTTGAAAAATTTTTTATTAACAAAGAGAGCACTTCACGTGATAATAAAAAGTTCCAAATCATGCTGATATTATACTTACTAGATTCTTGACCAGGCGATTGTTGGGGCGTGTTTTATTTATCAGTGAATGAGAAAAATTGAGTAAAAAGTAGAGGATGGAGATATAGTAAAGTGGTTTAATAAAATGGATTTTTCTTTAATTTCCTCCTTTTTCTACATAAGATATTTGAATTAGATTTTGCAAATCATTTTTTTAGGAAAACTTACAGAAGAGATTATAGCTTACAAATATGATTTTGCAAGATATATTTTGATAAATGTTGAAAAAGTCAACATAATTTGCAAAATGAATTTTGCAAGTCATGTCTTGGGAAAAGTTACAAAAAAGATCATAGCCACGGTTTGGAAATACTTATAAAAGAAAGCATAAGTTGCAAATTAGATTTTTCAAACCATGTTTTGAGTAAAGGAAATGGTACCAAAACATAGTTTGTTTAAAAGAAAAAAAAATGTTAGTTTCAGATTCTAATATAGCTTGCACAATAGTGATAGAAAAAGTAATTGTATGTTTTGGAATTTGGAGAAATTAATCATATATAACTTATAAATTAGATTTTGCAAAACATTTTTTTGGATAATTCGAAAAAAAGTGAACACAATTTACAAATCTGTTTTTGCAAGTCATGTTTTAGGAATGTCAAATACTTTACAAAACTTTTAAATTTGTTTTTAGAATCCATGCATGTAAATATAGTAAAAAGTATACTTCAAAAAAATATGAAGAATTAATAGTAATTGTAAAAGTGAGACATCATATGAACATAATCTGCTATTGTCTAGCAAACCATGTAATGGGATAGGATTAGGGTTAAATTAAAATAAGTGAACATAACCTGCAAATTAGATTTTGCAAATCACGTTTTGGGAGAATTAACATAATATAAACATAACTTACAAATCATATTTTGCAAGTCATATTTTGAGGTAATTTACAATAGTTAATATAACCTGCAAATTAGATTTTGCAAACCACATTTTGGGAGAATTTATACAATATAAACATATATATATATATATATATATCTAACTTACAAATTAGATTTTACAAGTCATGTTTTGGAAAAATTTACACAATATAAACAAAAGAATAATGGCCATACTGATGGCAATTGGTGGTCATTTTTATCGGCTTCAACTAAGGCCAAAAAAAGTATTTTAAAAGCAAAATTGAAATAGAGAGGGTGCAAAAAAAGAAAAGGTAATAAATTTCAAAGCACATAATTCTAACCTATATTACACAGAGCATGAGAAGAACGATACTATGGACGGATGTATATAGGGCGTGGAGTTTATATAGTAGTGATCCTAACATGTTTAATTTAAATCAATTAATAAATGCATAATCAATCATTTATAATCCTTTCCTATTTTTTTTGAAATCAAATTTGTAAGGAAAAAACGTCCAAATTCAATCGTAATATCATTCATTAATTATTTTAAAATTGATTATAAAAAATATTCCAAATCTCGCTCAAATCAAAGTATAAATGATCAATAATTTGTGATACTTTTTTAATTTATTTAAACAGAATAACTGTGGATAAAACGTCCACATTCAAGCGTAATTATCATTTTCTAATCATTTTCATATCATTTCAAATGAAACTTCCATCTTTTGGTTAATTCATTGAATAAATGACCACTAATTTGCGATTCTTTTCTTGAGTAATCAAATTCATCCATTAATTCTGATTGTTTCCGTAAATTATGTTTTACAATTAATGCGTCAAACATTTGCATACTAACAACTTTTGGTGGGAAACGGGTTATCAGGAACTTGACACGTGTACATTTTTTTACAAACTTATTTTGCTTTAATATAATATATAGATAAATTTTGATCATATGGGGATTACTTGAAACTAAGCTTATCTAAGTATTAAGGATGATGGAAAGCTGAAGTCGAAAATATAAATCGGTAAAATTTCAGTATAATTCTATTGATTTGTTTGCCAGCATTGTTAAGTCAACGAAAACATGGATAATGTGATTATTTTTATTTTTATTTTTTTATATATGTTTTTGGGTGATAACTAGTACCTAGCGGGATAGTTTCCCATTTATTTTATTAAGAAAAAAATACAAATAATAGTGCATAAAGATTAACATGAATAAAATGTCATGTATAAGAACGACATGACCTGTAATATAAATAAATCAAATTCTTAAACAAGTCAATGATCTTTGATCAAGAATTAGTAGACATTTACTGGCAATCTGGATAAGTGTGTAAAATTCTATGAGTACCCAAAAGAAACCAAATGAAGCAATGTGCAATTGCGTTTACTTCCTTGTAGATGTGTTCCTTGTAGACGTGTGAAAGTGTACACGTTTCTTTTCATTGTCATATAAATTTCTTTCAAAACAAACTTACTGACCAAGGAGAAACCATTCACTTTTTTGTAATAAAAGAGAAAGGGCTTCACTTTCAATCTATATGAAACCTTCTTGAGATGTACTCCCTCCGTCCTATAATTTTTGTCCAGTTTGGCTAAGTTGGAAGATTTTATTTTTGGTCAAACTTAACTATTTTTTAGTTTGAACTACCGGATATACCCCTCCTTACATAATTGTTCAACCGGTACAGATTTTTATGAATTTACAAACACAACTCCCTTTATTCTTTCTCACATTAACACCGTTCAAAAACCAATCCCCATTCTAATATTCAACCTTCACTTCACGATTGAACCAAAAATTTCCAAATTTTCATATGATGAATAAATTCGAGTCTTCTTTCTCTAAGGTTCCATCGATGTTTCTAGCGAGGTGGGAAACGAGTTGGAGCCGAAGGAACCAATAAAAGCTTTAGTCCAAGAAGGGGTGTTGCCGGCGAAGTCGTCGTTGGTGAGCTGGGCAAAAGGGTTTGAGGAGAGAAATCAGTATTTTTAAATATGAGAAACAAAGAGTGTAAGGTGGGGATATGGGTGGCAGCGGTTTGTGCAAAAATAATCAGTAGAAACTGACGCACGCTTGCAAACAATCTTAGACGAAAGTGTGTGAGATGCAATATTCAGCTAGTCGTGAAGGAAATGGGTGTAAAACTTGTAATAACTTGAACAAAAACTGAATTGTTGATAAATTGATGAACTTAAATGAAATACAATGAGTAAATCGAATAAAAAGACTTGTGAAAAAGTATTGAAAAGAACAATATGGTGCGAAAAAGAAAGAAAAGAGGTTTGCAGTTTGTGTTGATGATTAGTTGTGTCCTGCTTGCCCTATCTCTCTCTTTATATAGGGTTCGAAAATCGCTTATGTCGGTGCAATCTCCGATTCCTAGTTGAATTTGGTGTTGTCGATTTCGGATCCCAATTGACTTTTATTTCCGATTTCTTTTTTCTAGCCGGATTGGAATTCTTTTCTAGTTTGGATTCGGCTTCCTCCGTGTTAGGTTGGACTTTCGACGCACCTTCCTTCTCTGATCCGGCTATGGATTTCTTGCGACAAGCAAATTGGGCCGATTCATTACTTTTGTTAGGCCGACACGATTTTATTAAAAATTGGTGTCAACATAAACCCCCTCCCCCCCCAAGGTGCAACTCATTTTAACAATGTGGTCGGGCCACAATGAATTGGCCTATTAAGTAGCAGCCCACATATTGCACTGAAAAATAGGTGTGTAGTGCCCCCTCCCCCCCAAGTCAAAGGCTCGACGGAGGTAACATTTTTTTACTGTAAAATCTGGAAAAATTCTTGGGCCAAAACAAGCTGTTGGAGAAGACGCATAGGGAATCGGAGCGCAATCCCGCGAATCGAGGAGTATCATTCTCTTACTGACACTGCATATCTCAACAGGCAATTCATATCTTTTCGTCCAAATTTTCAATTTTGAAAACTTCGCAGCATTCTCCAAAAATTCGATATTTATGGTTATGAAAAGTATTAAAGGTGAATAGAATGAAACAGAAATAAATAAATAAAAAGTAAGAACGGTTGTTATGTATACATATTTTATGTGTTAATTTTACTCCCTCCGTCCCATAATTATTGTCCACTTTGCCCAAAAAATTTTGTCCCAAAATTATTATCCAATTTGACTTTTTATGGATCAAGTTACACATTTGTCCTTAGTAAAAAACATTATCCATAAAATTTTAGTGGTTAAACAATTACTTATGTAGGGGTATATCCGGTTGTTTAAGGTAAAATATAGTTAAATTTGACCAAAAATAAAATCTTTCATTTTAGTAAAGCTGGACAATAATTATGGGACAGAGGGAATATAATTTTTTATTATTGGGGTGTTTTTGTGATTAAATCTTTTATTTTATGAAAAACTAACAAAAATCCTTTAACCTTGACGGAAATTGGACCAATTGGACGAAGTCGGAGAATAAGTCTTTCTCTAGATACGGGTAATAAAGGCTAACAAAAAATAAATAGGGTAGCAAACAAGTCATAAATACTGGTAATAAAGGCTAACCGAAAATCAATATAGGATTGATGAAACAAGCAAAGTTTTCGGTAGATCCGCCATATTTTCAACAAAAACAATGCTCCAAATTGCTCCAAATCGTGGCTGCATATTTTCCAAAAATGATGGAACCACCAATATCTATATTAATAACATTCAAGATCCAAAGAGATGGACATATCATATATTGGTTCCATTAGGCAATATATTAGGCATTGAAATTAGGTTTAACGATTGATACGTCAACGAATATCAATTTTATTTGCCAATGTGGGGGTGTCTTAGTGGTAGAGACCTTGGCATCCAACCACGATGAGCGGACTTAAACCTCCACGATAGCTTGGACCACCAATATCTATACTAATAGCATTGAAGATCCAAAGAGATGGACAT